AATGTGTCCATATTCTACCATTTCGATAGGGATAAAAATATTTAAAAAAAATTTTTTAACTAATTATGGAAAAGTGTTCTATTACTGATACTGAACCACCAAAAAAAATTTTTGCACTGGAAAAAAAATATTCCTGTATATTGTGTGAGTGACACTGACCGGAAGGGGAGTGATACTAAATATCTTCGTGGAGTGATAGCCCTATGGTGTGTGTTCCACAGGACGGTCATGCTTGTGCAGGCTGGGTCGGTAAGGTTATTCGTATAGAACGAAGCAGGTTGCGTGCTTTGTGCCTAACACATTATACGATAGAGTGATAACTCTGATTTCGATATATGGTCGAAACACTTACGATGGATACAAGAGCCTATAGAGTCCCACTATTAAAACAGATCACTACATCTGGTAGTATGCCGTTTTAGGAGTCTTTTAAGAAGTAACTCTTTTGCGTGTGTAACTCTTTCAAAGTCCATGAAACGACATAGTCTATAAAACTAAGGCGTATTTATGTATGTCTGACTAGCGGAAAGAAAGCTCAAAAACGTGAACCTCTCTGACTTTCACGTAAGTGATTAATATGTCAAAAGAAGGTATGATGGAAAGTGCCAAAGATGTACGTGGATTTATAAAAAGATAAAACACTTTAAAGTGATATCTGGTTGATAGCTTTTGAAGAGGAATAGAAACTGACGAAGAACTGCGAGTCGAACACCAAACTCTTTTAGAGAGAGGTAAAAAAGTCTCGATGTTTGTCAGTATCCAGAATGGATGAGATTAAGGCTAAAGCTGGGGAATTTCTTGCCGATATACAAGATGTGTAATAACTGTGAATATTTTGAAGAAATTAATTATGAGTGTACTCGGGACGCTCACACAGCGAGGGACTCTGAGGCGGACTCTGGAATGGCGTTACTACAGAAGAGATTAAATGACCAATAAGACGCCTAAAAAGAGGAAAAGCAGCGCTTTTTGACATGGTGTCTGCAATGATGGTCAAATTAGGTGATACCTGCATGCTGGGTGCTTTCTCGTTCCTATGAAATCTTCGTTGGAGACACGCTTGTAATGTTCATCAGTTTCAACAAACGTCAATTTGATCAGCTTTGTAGAAAAATTGTATAACAAATTATTAAACGGAGAACGAGGGTGAAATTCGATGTAATGCTGTAGGAGGCACAGATAGCATTCAGAAATAGAAGGGGATGCACGGATTCCGTTTTGTTGCTCTACATCATCGTATAAATACAGGATGTTTGGAAATACATGTATAATCCCGAAACATGGCCATTATACAACCAAGTACAAAGAAAAGTACAAAGATTAATATGTCAAAAAACAATTTCACGTATATTGAGATTTTCATACAAATATTTGAACAATTTGTTTTCAATTAATATGCCACAACTATCGCAAGGGTCGGTGGCGGGATGGGTGACCAAAAAATTATTATCTCGAGGACGTAAAAGGGCTGATGATGAATATGCTACAACCCTGAAAGCTTATACGTGCCGTCCCGGCGTACTCGCTCTCTCTCTCTCTCTCTCTCTCTCTCATTACCTCTTCCTCTCTATCGTTTACTAGAATAAACTTTGATGTCGCCGACGCGCGCAATCGACTGCGTATGAGTTTACTTGTAATTAAAACTATTTAAGATTAAACAGGTACATACCTAGAGGCAGCGTTCTAATCACTCTTTCAGCTCTCACTTCTCAACATTACCACTTTATCTCCATATGCCGGCCACCGCATAAAACACACATCTCCATTCGACTCGACACAGACCGTGTTACTCTCGACGTAAAATCATATCTTCTGTCTCGATGGAATAGTTTCGGCCGGCCTTCCTGTGACACACTATGGAATGAACCAGTTGTATGTATGTAACCGATTCACAAGTGCCGCGAAGCACCGGTAAGAAGGAAGACGTCGAGGGTTTTCAGATCTTCCTGACACGTGGCGCTCGTCATAAAGCCGCAGCAAGATTACCGTCACAAGCACCAACACACATTATCATCTCGTAATATTGGACATTTGAGTACGAATTCATTGCACTGATCGCACAAAAACACAACAAACAGGTAAACAGAACGAGTATGAAAAAAAACCAAATGTCCCGAAAGAACGAAAACGTAAGTTGACCTTCTAAATTCTGAAAACTCACAAGTACGCCGACGCGACTGAAGCGATGACCAAAACTACATAGGTAATTATTGCAACTCGAACACCAATGTACCTAAACCAAAAGTGCACTGATTTAGGGTTCCGCGTCATCAAATTCTGTGTTAGCTAACCTACCTAACAAAAAATCGTTATAATAATAGTTTTTGAAATAACGTTAATCACAAGATTGGAGTTCTTTTATGGTTAAAAGTCATTTACTACTAACTAATTCTTTGTTTTTGAAATAACAAATTACTCTCGGATGCGTATTTATTCTAGGCATTTATCTTTATATTTATTTAACTTCTGTTATTTTTTAAACTGATTCGGCTTCGGCACATGGAGTCAATGACCAAATACAACACAACAGCTGTTTTTAGGGTTGTCAGCGTACAGTTTTACTTCGAAGAAAAAGAAGACTTTCAGACTTAGTGATCATTTTTCTGGGTTCTATTCATCATACCGTATGTGCCATATTCGGGATTATTCAGGTATTACCAAACACGCTGTATATGTATCTGGTCGTAGACCGAAAGGTTTTTGCAGCATCTACAGAAAGCTTTTGTAGATATATGAGATTAACGATACCCTGCTGTGTGCCGTGCAAACCACTTCTACACAGCACATGTGCGGGTATTTGGCAACATGTCGCCACATTTGGCGTCAATATTGGTGCCAAGATTGTTTATGCACACAGTTTGCTCCAGCGAATACGATCTATGAATGTGGGATTGCAAATGGGTAATGTATTAGTTAGCTGATAGCTTTATGCAGATGACGCTGTCGTCTTTTCAAAAAATCTATCTAATCAGCAAACTTTAGTCACAGTTATGAATGAGGATTGAATCATGAAAGGCTTATAAATGAACGCGAAATATACAAAAAATATATATGCAAAATATATAAAAAGTTAGAAAATTTGTATATCTTGGATGTACTTTTAGCATGCTGATATGGGAATGAGAGTTACATGGACATAGTATCAAATACTAACTTGTTAGTAAGCTAATTACTATTATACTACTATTATACTATTACTATAATATCCTAAGGGATATCATATTTAGGAAAGCAAAATAGTTATGTATCTTATTAAGGCTGTTGGCTAAGCTGCGTTCGCACGGCTGGATGATTTAATTAAGAATCACAAGTTATGGCAAACAATCATCCTCTTTTGTATTATCTATAAGTTTTTCTTGCAAATTGCAGTAAAAAGACAATAAGTACTTCATTAAAATATAAATAATACGATTCTATTATATTAAAGATCATAATATTCACATATACTTAAACATTGCAAATATGTATAATAATACAAAAAGGTTGAGAATAGCTGACTTTTAAGCAAATTACCTAAATGTGATGCTTTCTATAGCCAAGTTTTTTTTCTTATGGGATAGGGGGCAGACGGGCAGACGGATCACCTACGACGGAATATACTCTACGCTTGAAAGTTTGAAGGTCGTATCGGTCCGGAAATACCGCTGGCGACAAACTGTTCCAGAGTTTGACTGTGCGAGGCAAGAAACTTCTAGAAAAACGCACAGTTGAGGACTTAAAACTATCCAAATGATGGGCGTGGATGTCTTGTCGCGTAGAACGATGGCAGAAAGTAGCGGCAGGTATGAGTCCGAACAATTCCTCGGAGCATTCCCCGTAGTAAATGCGATAGAAGATACACAGTGAAGCAACATCTCTACGCAGGGCCTATGGATCAAGCCGACTTGAAGTGTCCCGGCAATCGACGATTCGAGTCGCTCTCCGCTGAATTCGATCTAGAGAGAGAAGCTGGTATTGGGGTGCCCCTACCCAAAGATGAGAACAGTATTCCATATGGGGCCGAACTTGCGCCTTGTAGGGGAATGTTTTGAAAGCGAGGTGATACGACAAATGGGGCTTTTTTGGCGGTGAACGCAAACCTGTGTCTTAGTAGGGTTGAAGTGGAACAAATTAAATTGATACCAGTTAGAGACTTCCTCTAAAGAAGATTCAATGTCAGACACTAGTTGATACCGGCTCTCAATGACGCTTTTCCGAGAAAGATTTGCACGACCGTTATAGGTGGAGTCCTTCGTGCTGTCATCTGCATAACAATTAATACTTTTAATTTGCAGCATGTCAATAATATGCAGAAGAAAAAGTGTAAGCGATAGCACACTTCCTTGGGGAACACCAGCATTTATAGACAGTAGGTCCGAGCATTCACCGTCGATTACAACCTTAATGCTTCTGTCTGCCAAAAAACTAGAGACCCATGCACATAACTTCTCGAGAAGCCCATACGATGGAAGTTTTGATAGAAGAGCATTTTTTTTATTATTAACAATAAACGAGATGAGATTATTCACTTGGTTGTTTTGCAGTAAAAAGTGCACGTTAATTATACAAAGTCTAGTTTAGGGCTAGGATACTCTACTGACTACTGAGCTGAGACCCGAATGTATAGCGGCGTGGCGGTAATGTTATGACTTTATAGAGGTGCAGTGAATGGGTTAAGTACATCTGATACCTTTGTTGTTTGTAATTTTTTTGTTTCTGATCAACGATAAGGTTGGTGTTGGTAAGGTTGCATCATCATCACTATATCAGCTGGAACGCTCGCGACACTCGGTACCGCACAGACCTCTTTCCTCGGCGGCCATCTATCTGTCCTACGAGCTATGTCAGCGTTTTGTTTCAGGCTAGCAAATATTTGGGCTATGTTGGTCTCTTTGGCCTATTTGCGACTTTGAGCCTATTTATGAGACCCACAGTTAGCACTCTAGGTTTTTTGACAATTATTTATTTATGGAGAATTGGAAACAAATGAAACATCACTATTAATGGGGTAACATGCATACCTGTGCGCATTGATGGCAGCTCTCACCAAAGCGCATCCAGTAATCATCCCGGCAGAATAGTAGGCCCTCTTTCTCAAAGTACCAGGTGGTGAGGCCCACATCACACACAGAGCACCTAGGAAAATTCACAGGTTTTATTTGAGAAATAGATAAAATTTATATCATATACAGTAGAACCCGTTTAAGACGATCACGCTTAATACGATTTCTCGTATAATACGCCATTTTACATCAGTCCCTGCAACTTGAGACATGTTTTCATACATTCTTTAACGCTTAATACGATCGCCATCCCCTTTAATACGCCTTATTGAGAGTGTGAATAACACACAAGAAGAGGCTCTAAGTGATAATGATCAAGAAGATGAGTCAACTCGGATTTTGACACACGCCAGCATCATCAGCAGTAAATGATTTAAGACGCTATTTAACTTCTTTGAATCAAAGCGAAGACGCACTACAAAAGTTGAATTACGTTGAAAATATTGTAATTGCTAATGCCTCATAATCTTTCTGTCAAACTAAAATAAGTGATTATTTTAAATAACGTGAAAGTAATACACGACATTTTATATAACGTACATAATTTTTAAACGTACAATTCAATACCTACATCCAAAAAAACATAATAAATATTAATATATACGCATGTAGTAGGTCCGTTTTTTATTTCCCTGTATCCCGCATAATACGATTTCCCGCTTAAGACGCGTTTTTGGTTGAGTCCCTGTGAAATCGTTTTAAACGGGTTTTACTGTAGATATTTCTCACTTAAACATTTTTTTCAATATGAAAATAGTAAGTAAATTATAACATAATACTGGTGTAGTAAATTACGAATTTCACATGCAGTCTTAATTTATTAAAGGTTTTACATAAGACTGAAAAAATTTTACAATGTGCTTAAATAGTTAGATATAATCGTAATGTATGTGAACATTACAATAGATGTATGTAAAGTTTTGGGAACCAAATAAAAATATATATTCAAATTCAATATATGTATTAAGTGATAAGCAATAGTCGAAGAGATACTTCACCAGTTGTGTCACTCATAGTGAGTTGTTACACTTAAGGTTAGTTACTTACTTTAATAATAATTAAAATAAACATGTTAAAGTACCAGTTGGGCAAATAGTAATGAATTATCACATGGTAAAGGTTGGATGATGTCATAATTAACTGTAAACTATAACAAAGATATTGTTTAACCATGCCAAGACAGAAGATGGTACAACCACAGTTAATCTTTATGTCAGAATGATAGATATTGTCAAATTTGAGATTAATCTTAATTGTAACTGCCATTATAATGAGTAAGAATTACTGGAAATCCCAAATTTGATGTGGCTTCCTAATTTTTCCTAATCCTTTTTTCCTTCCTAATTAACTAAAATAATTGAATGCTTGGACAAGCTCTGTCCCACTTTTTAGAGACTAAATGAGAGTATGGCACAATGTTGGCAGAGATTAACAGAAATCCCCCTTTTAAAGAAAATAATATATGACTACACATTATTTCATTTGCAAGAATGATTGAATTAAAACTTAATTTTAAAGTCACATAAAACTAATTATATATGCTTTGTTACATCTCAGTTTTTACATAAGAATCATAATGATTGACTTGAAACTGAGGACAATTTGTGGAAATTTCAATATTAAATGAAATCAATTCTAAATATTTTTCATTTATTCTATTTTTTTAGAATTGAACTGTACTAAATCTTTATTAGTTATATAAATACTATATGACAAATAAGATTATGTACCTAAAACAGTCTTTGTGCCAGTTTTGGTTAAGTGCACACACATAGTCATCATTTCCAATGTTGTTCATGCATCCAGCACAGCTGAGGGTTTCTGAAACATAAAGTATGTATGTGAAAGTCTCCTTATTCATATTTTGCCTTATACAGGGTAACAAGAAAACTATTAAGCCTGCAATGTCAATGTCTATACACAAAATTGAAATGACACAATCTTATAGTCTTGAAAAAAAATACAATATTGTAAGTTCCACAAAAATTCTCAAACAACTGTGAAATGAGATTATTGATTAAAATATCTGCTACACTCTCATATGTTTTATTATATATTTGATCAATTAATTTGCTCCAATTATAGACAGTGAAATAGCAAACATAAAAAGAGATGATAGACCTTACAATAAATTAAATACTTTAGTTTATCTATGCCCAATTACATTTGTGCACTTTTGCTTTAAGTTAATAACACATGCATATGGTTAATAAATGTAATACATACCATATAAAATAACCAATTCTTAACTATTTAAGTACTAGCTATCAACTGAAATAAGTTGCCCAATTTTAAATTAATCCATCAGGCCCGGCTTCTAGCTCATTTAAGTTTCCTAAATGTATACTAAAGTTAAAAATATTACAAATGGAACTGATATACACACATTGTATAAATTGTCCATCAATCAACTTTGATTCAGTGAGACTGTATTGAAATAGAACAATCCAAGTATTTATAAAGTGAAATCCATCTAGAAACATTATATATTAATTTTATTATTAACATTATATTAAACTACTAGCTTTCGCCAGCAGCTTTGCCCACAGACACTAGAGAAATGTTAAGTGGGATAAAAAGTATCCTATTATCTAAGTCGGCTAATACCCTATCTGTATACCAAATATAATCAAAATCTGTTCAGTAGTTTTGGCGTGATTGACCGACAATCATCCAAACAAAGAAATTTTCACATTTATAACATTAATAGGATAGTAGCACCTGTACCCTGACAAAAAATTTGCTTTTACTACTTAGGAATATTTTCTTAATATTTTTGGGATATCAGTGTCTCCATATTCTAACAATAAAATAAATGTAACAGATATAACAATAATATAAATGAGCAATCAAGTTTTCAAGGATTTAGTAATTATAAATGCAATTGTAAATAAGTATCCTGTTATTATCTATCTGGACTGAACTGGTGATTCACACTTAGTTGACATTAAAAATACCAATTTTTTATTAATGTTAGCATATGCTATATCATCTATAAATATATAATCTGTATGAATTATATATGCAGGAAAAGCTATTAAATTATTGTATTTATAGTAAGAAAGTACTCATAGTATTTAAAGGTATAAACTTTTATGGTACAAAAATGTAATAAACTTAATACATAGTTCAACTAATAAATTCTAATAGTTCATATAAAATGTTGTGAAATTATCATTGTGACCAACAAAACACGGAAGTAAACAAATCCTAATGCATTTAGATAACTAAAGGTCGAAAAGAAAAATCAATGAACTTGTGACTTCATTAATACAAAAAAAAATACTACATATTATTTAAGGAATACATATTAGAAGTACTGTACCAACAAACAAAGGGTAATTTGTGCTATGAACAAGTTTCGCCCACACAAATTTATACATGACAAATATACCCCAAACATTATAGGTATACCATTTAGTCTAAGGAATTACACCGAATTAAATACAAAATTGATTAAAATATTATTTACCTGTAAAATCTGATCCCTCCATTTCATTTCAAAAAGATATTTAATTTTATTTAGATTAAGGAAAAATTAATTTTCTAAATTGTAGTACTTGGGCGAATGAGGAACAAATAAAAATGACGTATATCGAATTGTCATATTGACATCGAATCAAAGAGTAGTATTATAAATCACAGATCACTAAATATGTAGCGAGGGCACAAGGAGGAAGTAAAAAGAAACGCAAAATAATTATTTCACTCAATGATGTCAGACGTACATACCAACTTCTTGGTATACATACTAGTTTTTAGTGTCACGTACCATGTACCAAGACTACTCAGTCATTGTATGCAAAAATACCAAGATTAGCCGTTGACCGACAAAAATACACTGAGAACATAGAATAATCGACAAATTTCAGAGATGTAAAAAAACATTCCAATCAGATTTCCTTAATGTCATAAAACTTTATTATATCAAGCTGTTTCGATGAGCAGTTACCATTTTCCACCGTTATTTTCTCAATATGTTAGATAGCGTAATGGTAACGCGTTGCGCTCTCGTTCACGTGGCCCCGCGTTCGATTCCTGCACGGGATTTATTTTTTTAAGTACTTAGTATCAGTTGTTTGCTCAAGCGAACCGCCGTTTTCGATAAAAATCTTCATTACAAAAATAATTTTTTTTTTCAATATATTTTACATATTATATCCGAAATGCAATATAATATCAAAAAAATGTTAAAAGTGATATTTCTTCTGTGTGTTCGATAATTACTGCCCTCTATGAACGGTATACGAAATTGAAATGAGCATTTTTTTTTACTGAGATGCGATTTCCCACACAGTTTGTCTCCCAGAATGGGCAGCATCAGAGCGGAGCACAGGCGTACTAGTTTCCCCCCTGGAATACCAGCTTTCAGCCAGCTCGGTACAAGGATTTCTAAGTGGCCGTCTAACATCCCTGATTTCACTAGATGACAGCATCGATTGGTCGCGATTGCGTTCAAGAGTAAGGGGCAGAAAAATCTGTAACTACAATATTTGTGATACATAATAATATATTGAAGAAGAAATTAACATGGTTGAATATTTGAGCCTCCCGGTAAACAAAGAAAAAGACGCCCAAAAATGAAATAAGACGACTTTATCATTCCTTAAAATATTTCTTTGTTTTTGTGTAATAAAAAATAATTTGAAACAAAGTTTTTTACTATTTATGTCATGTTTCGTTTTACTATTTAAGATTTTGGAAACTAATGTCTTTTTTTAATAATTCCTCATTGAAATAAAAGCAAAAATTTAGTAATATAATATCTGGCCTCAGGGAGGCCTGGGGGGGGGGGGGAGGCGCTTTCGTTTCTGACCCGGTAAATAAAGATCGTAGATCCGGGCCTGCGTAGCAATATAAACAATAAACCTTCAAAATGCCGTCGCCGTCTCCTCTGTGGTTCAACAAATCGTATCGCGCATGGAGCGTTACTTTTTTGTATATCTTCTACGCAAGCAATTAAAACCACTCTCCAAATTTGAGTATGTTAATCTTTATGACAAATAATGAAATACGTGTTTTTTCTTTTTATGTCGTTTAGAACAAAAATGTTGAGTTATATCGTCACCAAGTTATTTTCAAAAAACCTACATTTGTGGACGCTCTCGCTGCCCAGTACATGCGCTTTACGCGCTACGTTACACTTACCCCTCCCTCCCTTGCCGCAATTCATTGATAGTAATAATAGCAGCTACCTAAAATGTTTTCGTTTTGTCATGCTTGGGGAAATGATAAATAAAGTTGAAACCTCTTCATACTTTTACGGGCTTAGGACCGTCAAATTGCATAAATCCTATTAGATACCTACTATTACAATAGCTATACTGCTTTAAATTTATAAAGTAAGTAGGTAAGTAAATATCGAGTTACCTAAAATTCAGTTTAGTTAAACCAATTCAAAGTAGGTACTTAACTCGCTATTCTTTTGCAATCAGGCGTATTTAAAAAATCATCAACTTTATGTACGTAATCAACTAATCAATTTACCTACCTACTTTAACTATTTACCTACGTATACTTTAATAATTGTTCAAAGTACATACCGTTCCTCTCCAAACAGAGTCTTGCACCTTTTCTGCACATTGTCTTTTAATTTTGCGAGCACTACCGTGTCATTTTTCACTTGGTAAAATGCCGCTCTGATTTGCACTTTTAAGTGCTCGAGGCTTTGTGCTTCCTCAACATACACACGTCTTTTAATTTCGCCCCACAAATAAAAGTCACACTGTGGTAGGTCCGGCGATCGCGCAGGCCCCACGATGGGGCCTCCGCGTCACGTTGATCATCATGTATGTAACACTGCACCATTTCATAATATTCGCGATTGGAATACATTACGACGCGCGAAATGTGGCGCTACGATGGGCGGTACGCAACACGAAAGCAAAGGCGGAAGCGCATGCGTTCAAAGGAGTTGTGCGCGGGCGACTGACTGATGTGCGCCGACAAAATAAAAAACCGAGCAGACATTGTTGTTGGCGCATGCGCGTACATCCCCTGCGCCCGCGCCCTTGCTACCCCTGCTGCCTTGTTTTATTCATAACTAATGAGACAATGCGAATGTTATAATTATCTTGTGATTGCAACAAGTTTACATTTCATTTTGAAAATTTTACATACCGTTTTTTTTTTCATATATGTGATCTATTAACGATACCTAATGCCTAGAAAAAATTTGGAGAGTCATTTTAAATGCAGCCGGTATATATATATTTTTAATTCTTTTATTTTAAAGGGGTTTGATTTTGGTTTTAAAATGTTTCTCTTAACCCAGGGAAGCTTTATACGGTGAGAAGTGATACAAAATGGACCCGGTCATCTAATTGAAAAATGTATTCAGACTATTCTATTTTACTATTCGATTGTATGTTTCCTGTGTTTAATAATAATAAGCGTGCCTTGTATGTGCGTGTCATGCGTATATAAAAATGAGAACGACATTCGAGATGAATAAATAATTACAATTGATAATTAACACTGTATTTATTTGATAATTTTTGCATTCATAACACAGTCATAGTTTTACGGAAAAAATATTTCAGTCGAAATTAAAAATTGTTGTAAAAATGCGCTAACTACAAGAGAAATATATAAATCTTTAGAAATTTAGTTGTTGAAAGATTGCGGGTTCAAACTTGACAGTTGTTTTTTTTTTAGTATTATCCTTTATGATGACTAAATAAGCATTAATATTTAAAATTCGTTAATGTTTGTGTTTTCGTTGATGTGTTATGGTCTTCTTGTGATGAATCTTGTGTTTCTTATTCAACTTAACTTTCACTTTCACTTCGACTTCTAATTTTTTGAGCAATTCTGAAACCTTGGGATCACAATCTTCATCGGAATCCTCATCGGAGTCTTCCTCTTCAGATTCTTCTTTCGAATCATCAGATTCCTCCTCTCCAGAGTTATTTTCTTCTGATTCTTCTGGAGGTTCGGTTGGCGTCGTTTCAGTAGGTATCCATGTGGTAGTTTGTAGCGGTGTGGTCGTACCACTTTCAGTAGCATCCGTAATTGGCGACTCTGTGGTAGTAACTTCTGTTGGTATCGTAGGGATCGTAACAGTTTCCGTAGTATCCGGAAATTGTGTAGTTTCCGTAATATCCGGAAATTGTGTAGTTTCGGTAAATATTGATTCGGTCGTGGGGTAAGTTGAAGGCAACGTAGTTACCTCCTCATCCAAATTCTCAAAATCAATTCCAGTGACCAATGTGAACCAGGAATGGAAAGGGCCAGGACGGATGAAACCTAGAAAATACATAACTATGAAACAGGATTGTTAACTTGTGTAAGACGATGCTATAGCTTGACATTAAATTACTGGAAAATATTCTTAATGGAAAATGCTTAAAAAGTGGTGTCCGTGGTCATCCTATCTAGCATCTCAAGGTATCAAGGACTAAGTGGATTTTTTAAGCATTTTCAATAAGAATACTTTTTAATAACCAATAAATTATATACGCAATATGTCAAATAAAGTCAATGGTCTCTAACATTGAAAACATAAGAGAAGTCCAATAGTAAACTCAATAACAAAATCCAATACAAATTCATCATCAAAATAGAAGACCCACAAGGTTCTCTTTTGGATCCCCTATTATATTATCAAATCCCTAATTACATTCAATATATAGTATTATTGTTTATAAATAAAGTTTCGTACCAGCAGGGAAGCCAGAATGACAGCCGCCACTCTGTTCACCTGCGACGAAAGATGTCACTCCTATGAGTGTAGGGACACCGTTCTCTTCGAACACTAATGGACCTCCGCTGTCACCCTGTTAGAAAATAAAAATTATTGATATTTCAAAACACAACAAGTAAATAGGAGTGAAGATTGCCTTTTTGTTAGTTTATGCGAAAGAACAGTAACTTCCAACTACTATGGCGCTTGGTGTAACTTCGGTTGCGCACAGCAGACCTACCGATCAGGGGCGTAGCTACCGCCGTATCTGCCGTATCAATTATATGGGGCCACCGGGCAAGGGGGGCCTCCAACGTGCGTGAGCAAAAATTAATAAAAACTTCCCAAATTTCTTTTTATTTCAGAAATGACAAAAGTAAAAAAGAATCAATTAAAGCATGTGTTTCAACATTGGCAACACCATACATTGATTTTCGGGATTTCTCCGTTGAAGTCATTTACTTCAACGGGGGAATCTCACAATAATCAATGTACATATGATTATAATAATAATAAAGTCATTTAATCAAACATTTATTTTCCTTTTGTGAGAAATCTGTACCCTTCATGAGGGCCCCCAAACAAATTTTTATACGGGACCCGGTAAGGCACGCTACGCCACTGCTACTGACACCGACGATGACCGAATATATGATTAAAATATAGTCTTGTTTCAATAACGATTGGTGGATCGCATGACACTTGGAAAATTCTGATTGGCCGACATTTGCCGCGCTTCGAAATTTATACTTCTGTGAAAGTACAGCAATGAGCGACATTATGAGCCACACAATGTATATTAATGTTCTCATTTATGAAGGTAGTACTTACATGGCAAGTAGATTGTGATGTCACGTTGAAGTATTGAGCACATACACTGTTCTCAGTGATGATGGAGCCGAATACTCGTTGGCAATCCAGATTAGACAAGCCGCGCAAGTAGACCCACTGCAGTACATCCGTAGTAGCACCTGGTACCATCATGTTTGTTTATTCTTCACGTGTAAAGCAGATATTAACTTATAATTTAACACAATAGCACTTTACCACAAAATCGCTTCAAAGTAGATAATGAACTTAACTATAAAATCATTAGGGTTTAAAATCAAATGGATGGAAATATTTTTAATTTATTCGGTAACGTATAGAGAATGGTTACAGAACACTTACATCAGGTCGAAGTTTATTAATTAAATAAAAAAAGAATCATTGCGATCCGATATCTAAATGCAGCATTGAGAAAATTCCTTGGAAGCCAAAACTTAATGATATTATAATCTTTAATAATAAACAATAGATATAGTTAAATATAGCATTTAAGTGTATATCACTTATGAAATTAAACATACGTATTAGAACCTCATAGAAACAAACTATTTGTTTATTGCAACAAAATTATATACACACAACTATGTGGTTAATCTCCTTTTTCAAGTCGGTTAAAAATTAAACCGAATGTCTTCCTATATTATAGTTTAATGTCTTGGCTATTAATATGGTCCAAATTAATGAAAAGTATTAGGATACCAGTTTTTCACCAGAGATGATAATCAACTGAAAATGTAACATTTTGTAACTCACTCATTTATAGACAATATTAATGAGAAATTAAATACTAAATATGAAATTGTAATCTAAATAGTCAACTGTCTACCTACAGCATCAGTAATCCTGTGAATATATACGCACCTCCTGTCCACGTACGTCCGTGTCCGCTGGCGTAGAGCAACACAGATTGGTAATTCCGGTACGCGTCCGCACGTGATTGCAAGCGGATGGGCTTCATATACTCTGAACAAAATATATAGTTTAATGTCTTTACTTTGATATACAATAGTGCCATTCTATTATAAAATCTCACGACGAGCATAGCGCTGTTACAACGTAGAGGTTAATCCCTTACGAAAAAAAAACAAAAAAAGACTCTGTGTCTTCATGTGTGAAGACAGATTTTCGCAATAGAAGCGGAAAATATTAAATTATTTTGAATTTAATTTAAAATTTGACAGACTTGCAGACGTTTTCAATGGATAACTCGGTGGAATAGTAGATAAATGCCACCGTCGTGGTCGTGGTCGATCATGATTGCTATACAACTTTCGCAAGCACGGGATAGGTGACCATAAATATTATTATCACGAGCTACTCCCTGCTTTGAAAGGAACGTTAAGCTATTGCTCCAGGCTGTATCTGCAATCATTAACACCAACCAATTCGCACGGAGCCCGCATGGTGAGACACGCATGGACCATTTTTCCTGTTTGATTCAAAGCCTGTGCCTATACGGTAATATAAAATTGCTCAATAATAACTATCTACACCCACGAGCCGCAAAAGCAACAATGATAATTTTTCATAGAAGTTTCGCAGGGTTTCGCTTTCGCGTGCGATTGCGTAGACACTGGACTCACGGTTGAAGACAATCGGTTGATGTAACTTGATGACGGAGATGTCATTTGGTTGCGCGATGAGGACCATGGCGTCTATGTACGTCGGGTAGTTGAACCACTCGGTGGTCTCGTGGATGTAACGTGCGTCGTTGATGAACACCATGCCGGCGCGAACCACCACGGATATCCGACTGTGTGGAAGCACTTACATAAATTCCACTTAATTTCAACATTGTAAGGGCTAAAACCCGTATTATCAAAAACTACTCCATGATCAAAAACTATCTGAATTGCAAATTAAAGTCTTGTTATCCGTGTATGATGAAGCTTTTCGTAGGTAAAAGACTTTTTAAAATTGTTTATTTATATTTGTCCTAACCCTAAGCTGGGTATACTAAAGGCTGTAGCTATAAAAATCATTGAATCATTATCTTTTAATATCATTTGTAGATATCGCTATTGTGTTTTTCATTTTATCAATGAAAACGTTTTATTGTTTTTAAAAAGATTAGTTCTGTAGTAACGATAAAGTAAAAAGTGCTTAAAAAATTCGCCACTCCTGTTAGTTCATGGGTAGATCAGTGTTTGGAGCAGTCGCCCGGATTGCGAAAGGTCATGGGTTCGAGTCCCATCTCAGAATGCCAGGGACAAAGTTAAGCATTTTCAATTAAGAATATGATTAATTATTTTTATCATAAACGACTTAGTTTATTTTCGTTTTTTAATTATAGGATTAAAATTGGATTCTAATTTAAAAATTAAAATACAAAATTTTTTATCACTCCAGGCTGTCAAAAGCACTCTTGAATGTCGAAAACTATGACATCGTATCATAAATTAACTCAATATTTTATTTTATACATAGAATACAAATACGTTACAATATGATACAGAGAAAAAAAATACGTTACAATATCCTATTGAATCGCGACTTTTTTCATATGATCCTGGAATAATTCGAAATACCTATTTTAAACGCAGGGTAAATACAACTTTAAGCCTTAAACCGTAGACGGCCAGCCTACCTGGTAAAACCCACTGCAAGTAACTTGCGGGGGGAGGGGGGGAGGTAGACGTGATTATTAAATGAGATGCTCACAGCGCTGTGCAGTGTGCGGCGGTGAGGACCCAGTTCTCATGTATGATGGAGCCGCCGCAGGAGGCGAGCTGTCCGGCCGCGTTCAACATGCGCAGGTTGACGTGGTGAGGATGTTGACCAGGCTTAGCGTCCCAGCCTGAGACGATGCGCGATCCTAACCGAAGACAAACAAAATATAAGTAGGTACAGTACCTACCTAACAATAGGGATGACGACTAATTTTTGTTTGTCTGTTCGTCAGGTACATTTTTAAAGAATATTAAATAAGTATATTTTTTTGCGTAATCAATTAATTACGGCGAAATGTCGAGTTAAAATGTCGCATGACGTCACGCTTTTGTATATTTTCTACAAAAGTGACTATTTTTACTGCCTTTTTTGTTAAATTGAAGCAAAAAATAAATACGTATTTTTTATTATTTTCTGACTGATGGACTAAATAGAATTACTTTTTTTTAACCCCACTCATTTGGCATGATTCCTCATTCAATAATTTATAAATAAAAAATCTAAAACTGATGAGCTGCAGCATAATACAGCGTTTTCTAGTTCAATAAAAAATCAAGCTAATTCTTTTGAAGCGAAGATTAAAATCTTTCTTCATTAACTTGAAGGATTTTCCAACTAAAACAATGGCATTTGAGTTAATATTATAATTGAGTAATAAATCCACTAGTGCACATTCATCATGCTTAGCACTCTGCCCCTAAATATGCTCTCAGACTCATATCAGTGTCTGCAGATCACAGTTTGGGAAACGTTGACTTAAATAAGAGGCACACACAGCATACGAGGGTACGCACACGTAAGCTATCATGCTTGCGATATAACTCATAGCAATCAATGTTTTGTACAGATTAAAATAAATTGATTCATTTCCGTCACACGAACTTCTTTGTTTTTTTATTTGCATTCAGCATTATTTTGTCGCTCTACTTCTCTTTGTATTAAAGATATAAATATTAGGTAAGAGTTCTACATCAAAAGAATTCACGTGGGAAAATCAGTACACTAAAATTATCGAGTACAAATCGTAATACGAGTAATATGCCCATTAAATAAATATATTTCATTTTTGTTAATATTATATTGATATTTAATTCCATAACTGACAATTTGAATCGGTTTCGTAAGCATTTTGCAAGGTTTTCTGCTCACATCAGTAGATGTCGCTTCAAATGTAAGAAGAAGGGAATAGAGCGATTGAAAAACTCAGAAACAATAAAAAATTTAATATTGTGTAAACTTACCTCCCTTCGAAACATTCTCTATAAAGTCTGCTTTAATGATGGGATTTGATCTGGCTGGGACCTACGATTGAAGGAAACTTTTTAGTTAAATACCAATGTTCTACGTTAAGAGCTTTTTACGCAAAGCAATGGTTGAAACGTTATAATATTAAACCTAATATAAAAAAGAAAATCGAAACAACACACAAGATACATATAAAGTAGGTATCTATACCGTTTTTTCTTTTGATCAAAACCGGGCATCGTTTAAGAATTCTTGTGACTTCATTTATAGATAGACCCTTTCGGGATAGCGCAATTAGCCCATACACCATATAGTGATTAAACAAACTTTTGCTTTTCGGTATATAATTTTAAACAATCCCAAAGTAATTGGAAATCAAATAGGCTGTTTTGCGATTCGGGTTTATCGTCGGGACCCCAGGACAAACTACTATCAAAATATGGAAGAGTCATGTTCAAAACGGGTTGTTTGGTCACGTTAAGTACAAACACAACAGAACTAGGTGGTAGTTTTATGTCGTTTCAATAAAACTGCTACTTGTCCCTGTTTCGCGGGGACAGTCCCATTTATATTACAAGCTTTTATATAACTTGCAATCTATGTATCTATTCTGTGGTATGTATGTTCGTCAAATCTTGCAACTGAATTGTAAAGCACTTATTTATCCACAATCGATTAAGCTGCATTTTTACATACATAGATAAGTTACGATGTTATTATAGTTGTTAATGTCTTTGGTATTACATTTTTAATAAGAATAAAAACTCATTTAAATTACAAACTATTCTCAGTATCACAACTATTGTAATAGAGTTCAAAATTGTGAAAAATCATCATCTATTAAAGTGACGTGCTGCTCTCTGTACCGTTTTATCCACAGATAGGTATTTCAGAGGTAACCAAAACTCTTTGCCTCACGTAAAGAAATGAAATCATAAGATAATAAAATAATTTAATTAATTTATATTGTACTTACCTGGCCTACAGCCAGGGCGAGTAGGATCACCGAAGTCCACAACATCTTTGATACCACTGTTTGTGGCCGTAGCTAAAGCTCGCCGAAAGTAACTTATCTAATATTAATAATAATCGAATCAGTAATGAAATCACTGTAATTATGTACCTATCCTGATATCATATATTAAAGTAAATGACAATCGATTAATAAATTTGATTGTGCGCCGCCTGAATTAATGGACAATATGTTATAACCCGATAATGTGATTAGATATGTCGTGACAATAATTTCCACTTATTAATTACTAATGGATATAAGAAAGTAATAATAATATAAATAGTTATATAAATGACAACATCGCTAATTAGTGATTATTTTTTCCTTGGATAGAACGGGTCAGTTTTTTTTAAGAACACCGGGGACGCTTTGCAATGTGTTCTCTGTGAGGTAGGTGAATAATACTTATTTGCTTGGTATATTGACTGTAATATATACTTTAAAAGGGAAAGTACCTAATCATTACCATCATCATTTAAAGATTACCTACCTCTTTTAATTTATTTGTCGAAATTATTATCTGCTGGTGATCTCTACGTCACTCAAGAGTTGGTGACGTCAACAATAATAAGCCGATTTACACTAGTAACGAAAGAAATATTACGATTAGCTCTAGATAAGATCAAATACCGACAAATTCTACCTCATTGCATATCATGGTAACGCTTGTTGAAGGCGGAGGCGCGCGTGCGATAATCAGCGCTGACCGCTCAGGGGACTTGAAACATTTTTTTCCACACAACCCTAGCATGACCAACTCCAGAACGTTTTGTCTAGTTGGTCAGTTTTCTCGGGTCGAGAGTGAAATATCGTATGGGCGCCTGCAAGAAAAGCGACCTTTAGGTGTAGACAACACGTTCTCGAGTTCGTCATGCTAGGGTTGTGTGGAAAAAAATGTTTCAAGTCCCCTGAGCGGTCAGCGCTGATTATCGCAAGTCGATGATAACGCCTTATAAGGTTTAACTTTTACTCCACAGCCATTCTACCATAAGGTAGAATTGAAAAAACATGAAATTTTTTAAAAAGGATATGTGAAATAAGACACAAATTGTAATATTCTATACATTTATAAATCACTCAGTGCAACAATACGCCGTCTTGCAGACAGCTGACTGCGGTTAGAGACACCCCACGATTATTAACAAGGAACAACACTACTAAGTATTATAATTCACTTGAGGATAAGTATTAATTCACTTGAAGATATGAACCAATATAATGGAAGCGTCACGTTATTAGGAAATTATACAAATCCTCTTTAGGGCGCTTAAGAGTAGAGTACGCCTCCCAATAACGTAGCTGTACCTACAGTTTGAGAACAGTGGAAAATTTAAAAAAAAATTGTTATAATAAATGTTCATGACATTTTTTCCTTCTTGTCACCCTAATTTACATCATTTACCCCCTTTTTCCTTCTTACGTCATGTTACCCTAATGTTACGTCATTTATCCCCTTCAATACTTCCAAGCAAAAAGCCTGGAATTCGCGTCAGATATTTTCTTATGTATCTATATTTATATTGAAACACACTATCATAATGATGTTGAAAATATACTATAGTCCCTTTCACATAAGTAGGGTACGGTGACGGTCAATTCTTTAAAAGTAATCTGGAAAGTTTTTTAATAGGGATTGAATCCATAAAATCTTTTGAACCGTAATATGTATTTGGTAATCTTTTGACCTTTTTTAAACTTTAATTAAGTTGTAATTACTTTTATGTTTTAACTAATATATTAATAATAGCTTATTATATTGTATAGATTCCTAATAAATAGCAACACGTAAAAAACACAAACGGCAGTTTTTATCTGTCAAACAACTTCAGATTTCTATTTGAAAAATAGGAAAAATAACCCTTATTCTACATGACTGGGAGAGGGATATGTTTTTTCTTTTCCTAAATAAATAGGGTTATTAAAATTAACAGTATAATAGACACTCAAGTGATTATTGATTTTGGTGAAGAATCAAGTAATTTTGCTGCCAAATAAATATTTCTATTAGTTCCCATTTTTAATAATGACCTCAAGATCGATTATTTCTATTAGAAATGAACTCTTTATTATAGAAGTTTTGTATAGAGATTTTTTGCCACATTATTAATAGCTTTATATCCCGACACATCACCGTGCCCATAATAAGTGAAAAAGACTAGGTATACACTATAAATTCTGTATTACAGACATAAAATACAATATGAGAAGATATAAAACCCAATTTCAAATTGGGTATACACATGAAAATTTTATTCAAAGTTACCTTAACATGCTGCTATTTATAAACAGTAACTATTCATAGAAAACATATAAATTTGTTAATTAAATATAATCTCATATTCGCGTAACGCTATAGAATTTTTATTTATGTCACTACAATTTTAATCATAGAATCAAAATAAATATAAATACAATATATTCATTACCTATTTTAATGAAGTTAATGAATAAATTGTAATATAAAATGTTAAAATATAAATCCATGGAATTGTTAACTAATATATAAAATGCATCTTGTAAAATTAAAATAATATCTTCTAGAGTTCGCAGTTTTTATGATTATGAAATTATAGCTAATTTAAATATTTCGACACCAATTAGGCCTCTTAATAATTAAAAAAAAAGCTAATTAAAATATTCTGTAAGTAAAGTAAGTTATCCTTGAAGAAACAACGTGGAGTGTCCATATTATTTATCACATCTAATAGCTTCGTAACGTCTATACGACCTGGCTCGCTACGATCACAGAATACAGTCGAGCACATTAAAATAACAACTAAATGCTTATGATCTCGACTACACTGTACGTACACTCAACAACACAACGTTTTTCAAACGATTATGAAAGTTAAATGCTAACGAGTTGAATTACTTCAATCGTCGTCAAATATGAAGAAAAATAGTTGATCGTAGCGAGCGGGCACGCTACAACTAGAATAACTTATTAAACACCGGTAACATTCAGATATAATATGAAGGTCAAGGTTCATAGCCGCGCCGAACATTATGCACACTGTAACGTTTTTCACGATATATTATATAACTTTTTAAAGTCCAAACACAAAAACTTTCGTAATCATAACATTAGTTTTAATAACATAAATGTTTTAGCAAAAAAAATTTTAAAGAAATCTACAATGATATATAAATATTACCCGCATAAGATTCATAACATATTCCCTGGCAATATCAGAGTTAACAGTTTGCTAATGCCGGCCTTTAGACTTAAAAAACAAATACAAATCGATCATTAAAAAATATATCAATTTTAATTGCGTTAAAATAACAATCGTGTTTCGAGATTCTTGAAAACAAACACGCCAACATTGAAAATAACTTTTAACTAAATCGTAATAAAATTTAAAATATACATCTTTTTTTAAATTAAATTTACAAGCAACGAGTTTCTTTAACAGTCAATTGAAAGCGGCAGCACGAATTAAACATTTTTATAATAAAAGATAATTTTCACAATTCGAGCTTGCTATGCAAAATGTAAAGCCTGATTATACAAGTATACTTTGTTACTAACATACCTAACAAAATTGTGTGTTCTTTCAATTTGCATAGCTTAATTTAAATATTATCAAAATAGTAGATCACGTTCATAATTTATTATTTAAATATTAAGTTATATAACACACACGTGTGGACAAGTTTCTTAAATACGCTAAATATTAATTAAAAGCGTAGGTTTTCCTTTTCTGTATTCAAGGTTTAAAAAGGGCATACGATACAAATTAGGTTACAATTGCAAGAATATGCATTCTGTTTTCGACCTTACGAATATGTAAAAACGGAATATAGCATTAAGAATTACAGTACTAATATCATGTGTCCTTTTTATACCAAAAAAAGTCGAAAAAAGAGACTGAACCTAAAATTAATTAAATATAACAATGTAGCCTGCCATTATAATATTACAGCATACATTCTTTGAACCCTGATTTCACTATATTTCACCATATATATAGAGTTGTCAAAGTATATTTGAAAATAAATAACATTTACTTTACAATTACATATAAATGCGTAATTAAGCACAATCGAGGGACTTGGCGCTCTGCCATCTCTAGGCGTATATAGAAGCCCTACATTTGGTATAAATACTTCTCCCTGACAGCGCATCAGGCTAAACAAATCTACTTAATTACTCCAATCAATATTGTACTTAAACCTGTCAGGAATTAGGTTCAAAACTGATTTCGGTAATTAGGTTTTGCTGCTGTGGCTACGAAGTATTTTATGCGCAAAGTGAATAGGCGTAATACCTCGACAGTACGTCCCTATAAACACACCAACTACTTTAATATATTACAAATGACACTCCCTGTTGTGCTATTTATTAGTTTACTAAACACCTACTCGTTCACATTCAAAATAACAATACAGTAACCTCGTTTAGTTAAAAACAGAAATATGAGCCCTGAAATTGCGTCAGAAGTAACATCTAACAAAATAACAGAATCATACTACCACACGAACTAATTTTTTGTTCGTCGGTTTCCTAATCCGACGGTATTTCATATTGAATATATAATAAGATAACAGAAATACATTAATTGTAATAAATAATACTTTTACAGTAACGAATATAAAATTTATTATTATAAAAGTAATACCTACTTATGATTTCTTTTTGTTTATTTTAGCTGCCATTGGGCGCTTTTTAAATAAATACGCACGTCACGTGCATACTATATACCGTGACGTCATTAGGCGGGTCCAAAAAAAGCAATTATCAACTTTTTAAATAGGTATGTATATCATTTTCTACGAGTTCTTTACATGCCTAATGTTTAATTCTCGTAAAGCTAGACATAAATATTTACTGTAGTTATGCACTATGCCACAAAAATGTTGCTTCTGTTTTAGGCGAACAAACGTGAACGTCCACTATAAGACTGAGACGTCAATGGAAATTAAATTGCGTTATCATATATTTCCATATTATTTAATTCCCTGTATTATGGTCACCGTCGTCATACTGATTGTCCCCGCTAATATCACGTTAACATAATAAAAGAGCCCATTAAACACGTATCGTTATATACTAGTTGACATCGAATCAGACCAAAATCAATCTTATCTAAATAAAATACAGCTGAAAGTACATTTTTCAGCTAAAGATGATTCGCGCATCGATCACACAACCGCATAACAGATTACATTAAATGCAAACAATAATTAAACTTTAAGGTTTAAAATCTATTTGACAAATTAAAATAATCTGATATACGATTTATTGTACGTTTTGGTCTGAATAGATTTTTATGTTAATACTCATTCATGGTATGATTAACGTTTTTGTTATAGTATAATGCAAGAAATATGTTTTTTATTTTTATACTTTGTCCTTGGTACTCTGCGATAGAAAAAAATTCGCTAGTCTTTGATCAAACATAATATATTTTTATGTTATAATTTGTCCGTTACGCAAAATGGAAGTACTGTTTTTAGATTTGTGCTAAACTTAATAATGTTAGTTCAAATATTAATTATGCGAATGTAGAAAAATTTGAAAAACATTTGGCAGGTATGGGAAGTTAGCAGTTTCACAATTGGAAGTGGATACATGGCATAAAAATTAACCTCTAAATTAATTGGAAGAGAAAGTCTTTATTTTGGGGCAAAATTGGGACATGGAAACATTTCTAATTACACATCTATAAGGACATAGTGTTGGTTACCAATAATAAGTTAAAACATAACAAAAAGGACTTAAAAGTTAATAAATAGGTTTACAATTTAATAACTATAACGCATTGGGAATGACACATAAATATAAATGCGAGTTAAAGATTTATGCTCGTTTGTCTACTATCCGATCGTCATCATTCACGTATTATATAAATAGAATTTGAGTCATGTTAACTAATCAACCTTTTGTCGAAGTAAATATATCATTTGTCGTTTCAATTTCATCAAATCATTGCTGTTAAAATCTATCAAATGCAAAAACTACACACATTTTAAATACGTTTACAACCATCTTTCAATATACACGCCATAATACATTTCTCGAAAGTTTTGATCTCACATATAGTTTTATTTTTTGTTCAATTATTAGTGAATTAAACTACTCTATAAGATATTTTGTAATAATTGAAATTATACATCCATTCTATGGTAAAATTGGAGAACTTAGCGTTAGTTAATTTAAGCCGTTTATCGCTTACGCATCGACACAGTTCTTAGAAATATTCTTCACTTCACTAGAACTGTTAGATTTATTTGTACACTAAAATACTCCCCCATACAGCTACATACGTCAAACCATTAAAAGCAGATAACCTAAATAGGTGTCTCAAAATTAATATTTCTTAAACTTTGACTGAAGTACTGCATAGACATAGCAACTTTAGTTGACAGAACGGTTATCTTGAGACAAAAAGCTTACACATAACTAAAACAAGAGAATACAAATAAGGCGACATACGTCGAATGAAAAAATGACAAAACTGATATACAACACGACACAGAAAGGACGTAGAAACCGGGAAGGCTAACATCATCCTTTCAGGATCAAGTTGATCACATACGGTTGGAAGATGAATAGGGGCTACCATTATCTCTTATAGCAATGTTTAATACGTGCAGCGAGCGGGAGAGCGCTATACGGAACAATGGCGGTGTCCTGCTCACTGCACGGATAAAACATTGCTTATAAGTGCTCACGGTTAGGCCTCTGAAACCATAAAATCGAGAACATGGCTGAAAGGAGTAATGAAAGTGGAGAAGGCCAAATATGTATGTAAGGACAGTGCCTTGTAGCACTCGGTTTTCTGTCTACCTTGCAAGGGATACGGCGTGAATATATATATATGCAAGTAATATTACTCGATTTTTAATGCATTCCGCGTAAACCTAATTTTAATCCAGGCATCTTAACAAAAAAAATCACAATCAGTCATTATACATACCAAAGCCAACAAAGTGCTAACTAGAATCTTTCCGAACACCCAAGTATACTTACACACCCACCGCTAATTCCGTTTTAGGGCCAGTTTTTTGATCCGTAGTCAAATGTCATTTCACCATTTGTTAACTTGACTATAGTTAAAACATTAACAAGTTGTTAACTCGCTTTTTCGTTTTTTGATGCCAAATTAAACCATAGCCAAATTTAACCACTGGCCAATTTGTTGCCAGCACAATGTGTCGTTTTTTCGCTATACATTGACATGGGTAATTTTCTTCTGGGTGACAACACTAACAGTTTGAATGAACATTAGGATTTTGTTCCAAATATCAAATAGACGAAAGAAATCTATAGATACTGTTTGATAAACAGTGTAGATGTTTATGGTTGCTCTGTTGTGTGTGTGTTATTTTTCAGGAAATATAAGGCAATTTCTTTAATAATATTAGAAAACAACAAAGATTTTTTTTTTCCATTTATTTTAAACTTCACTTTTTTATAAAAAGCATATATTTGTTTTTTGTTTATTTTATAGAGAAATACGTGAAAAGAATATAGTATCTAGTATCCAAGGTGGGATTGTAATGTTGGAAAATAAATCGAGGATTATGTATTTTATGTACTGTAGGCATATTTACCTTTTGTATTGTCTATTTTTTGGATTTTATAAGATTTTTAATAATTTGGCATATGCCCGTGGAAACAAAAAAAAATATTTTATATAGTACAAATACACTAAGGATGATCAAGATAAAAATATAACTTATTTTCAATAACCCTATAACCCAAAAATGACAATGAATATTTTCCTATGAAATTGCATTATAAAACGAAATCCCAAAAATAGCTAATGTCCAAATTCACTATGAAATCGTGTAGGTTACAAAAAACAACCTTAAAAAACAATAACAAAGGACCAAGTAAATACAACGCAGTTGTACATCTGTTCTTTTAACCATTGGTCATTTACTTAACCCTAGCTTCCAGTGATGGTTAAATTTTTTGACCAATAGTTGTAATTTTGATAATTGGTTAGGCTAACTATTAATCAAAAACATATTTTTCTGATATATAACCATTTGTCAAAGATTTTAACAAATGGTTGAGTTAACCACGGATCAAAAAACTGGCCCTTAGTTAACAAACGTTACAATTACAGACTAATTCTTTTTATGTTCACTAAAGCTCCCCAGCACCGGTTTTTTTTTTACAAAACACTAACAAATCATACTTTTGTTATTAAATTATTACATAAAACATAAATCGCTAAAAATATCAATTATTTAAATAAAATTAAGCGAAATCAAATAATTGTTTAATTCAAAATTTGTTTACCTACTAACAACTAAAATTTGGATAGTACAATATCTTCTAAACATATGTTAACAATTTTGACATCTCGTAAGACCTCTCCTTTTCTGTAGCTCAAAACTGTCATTTGTAAATCAACCATAATTATCAAAACTGTTTTAATATTTTTTTCCGACTGTCCAATAACGAAAATATGGAAACGCCGCAAAGGGACAAGGACAATGAACAATCAAATATACTTTTCAAATAAGCACGTAGTCATATAAAGCGAAGCACAAACAAAAGTGAACTCTGAGACAAAACAACACGGTCCTGTATATTTCGTAATTAAAATAAATTAGAAGAATCTCTTACTCTCTTCTCGTCGGAGGTAACGTAATTGTCACCGATAAACTCACTAATCGAAAACATCGGATCACCTAGCAGCACAGCGAGTCAACGCAAAATGATAAAGCGAGTTAATTTCAAACTCTAACTGTATACCATTAAGGTTCAAAATCGATCTAAGAAATCAGGCAAAGTAAAATATGATGTGCTAACTGGACATCAATGTCGCTTCGAAGAATCGCATCAGTATTGCCTAAATTTCGTTTTTCAAATGAATAATAATCGACTTCCCTGTGTATGCTAGCGGGCACTGGCGTGGCGGCGCGCGCGTTTTTTCCGCCGCCATCAGCTGGACTTGACCGCGGTGGCGGGGGATGGTGCGGGTCCGGGGGTAGCGGGGGTGGAAGCAGCGGACGAGTTGGTGGAGCGTTGCCCGCCGACTAACATGCGTATCGCACCCGCCGACATTAAGTAGAACCAGTAGAGTTGCGGCAGAAGCAGAATGCAGATCGATATCTTGCATCCCGTTGGCAACGACTTTATTGCCTGCGAATGGACATAGGATAATTAAAAATACGTTTATAGGTGAGTGCTTATTCTTGAGGATCGGTAGTGTTTCAAAATATAAGTGATATTCGTAAAATGGAAATGCTTCCTGTTATATATGTAAGGTATATCGGCTTCCCCTGGCCTTCCATCACTCACTTTCATATTAATTAATACTAGTAACTAGTATTGGAAATCAGAAGTGAATACGCGTAAAAAAGTACAATTAATTCAACCTCAAAATAGATCATATTAAAACAGAATGAGAATAACGCAATAAAGTTACAACAATACACCTGCCAGCAAAAGCCACGCGAGTCAAGGCTTGGGAACGGCTCGAAATAGTCTGAGCGAGCAATTACGAAGAATCAGATTTTTCGTAAATGCTCGCTCACGACAGAATCGTTTCTAGAGCATTATAACCAATGTAATTAACCCAGATAGTTTATTGGGTAGGCTGTGTTTCGTACGCCGTCTCTTTCGTGATCCAATTTTTTTTAATAAGTGATCAGTTTGTATGGAATTATTTACGAATTGGTTAATGACGTTAACCAGGTTTCCGAATCATGTAGACAAATTCTGCTAATGTTTACGTAAAATCACCACTTGTGTCAAACACTAAGCTGTCGAGGAGCACGTGTCACCTGTACTGTTGAGGGCTCGGCTGTGCATCAGACAGACGTGAGGCAGCGAGCAGATGCGGCACAGGAAGAAGAAGGCGAGAATCAGGAGTCCGTTGACGAGGTACCAGCTAACATTAGGCTGTCAAGGAGCATGTGTCACCTGTAGATACGGTATGTTGAGGGCTCGGCTGTGCAGCAGACAGACGTAGGGCAGCGAGCAGACGCGGCACAGGAAGAAGGTGGCGAGCATCAGGAGTCCGTTGACGAGATACCAGCGGGTGTGCTTGAGACGGAGGCGCGCTAGTACCCCACGCGCGGACACGAACGGCGTCGACAGCTCCATGAGATACACGAAGCCGAACGTGCAATCGCCAAGGTCGCCGCGAAGGTACTGTAACGTCGATATTCATTTATTACGTGATTGTCAGTTTTTCCCACTCCGCCGTCTGTGTAAAAAATAAGAATAGGGCCGCTTTATATCCGCCCAAAACCGATATCAAGTTTTGATATCGATATTGAAAACCATTTTCAGATATCGATATCAAGGTATGGTTGTTGACAATCAAACATTCGATCAAAACTGGTAATGAGGATATGATATTCGCTTAATCTCTTCTGCACCATGGACCTTTCCTTACATTAGAAAGAGAAGGGGCGAATATCGTGTCTTGGCTACTTAGCTAGCGCTACTAAATAGACTTTACTGCTATGAAACTAAAGGTTTATTATTTATAGATCGTAACTGGATGGTGGATATGATATTTGCTTCATCTCTTTTTGCCCTATAGCATTTGAAAGAGAAGGGGCGAATATCAAGCTAAAACATTTTGAGATGTAATACGGTTATGTAGATTCCATTTAAGTAGTTATGAGAAAACTCATATCAGTTTTCAGATACTTTTTGATTTATCAGGCTTAATATGAATCACCGCTCGCTGCGATGCCGCAAATTGTCTTATTGATCTCGTCTGAGTTAGTCCTGACGTCTCACCAAGGTTACCAAAGAAGCGCTGCCAGCGTTCGATTAATAAGTATTATTTAAATTTTCCACTCACCACTATTACAAGAAACCCAAAGCCTCCTATAAAGAGATGATGCATCAGTATCACAGGCTCGTACTTGCAGTACTCCAGGAAGGTGGGTCTGATGGAGACGGGCTTTGCTTGATTCATGTCCGTGTTCAGATTATCTCCCATAGACAGTGACGCGTCACCGTTCTTGCTAACCTTCTTCTGAGCTTTACTCTTGTAGTCACCACTACTACACATCTGAACGTGTACCTGTTGACGCGTAGACATACGAGGGTCAAACTGAAAGTTCTTAGAACTGGCCACTTATAAACAATATAATAAAAAAATAATTCTAAAATTTGAAAATATAACTCTTTGCCAATATTACTGAGTATATATTTCATTCATTTGTCATTTGTTTTACGATTTGGCGGCAAATTGAAAATTGTCTGTGTCACGTCATCATGAATTTAACACGAGAAAATTTTCGTGCAATGATTTTTTATGACTTTCGATGTCATTTAAGTCAACAAGAAAGTTATGATAGACTACGATTGACCTTTCACGATGAAGCCCCATCTCGTGCGACTGTTTACAACTGGTTTAATGAGTTTAAACGTGGTCGCACTAATCTCACTGATGATTTACGTGAGGGACGGCCTTCTACGGCGACGACTGAAGATAACATCTGTGTTGTGCGGCGTATGATAGAGACTGACAAAAGAGTGACCTATCAACGGATTCGGACAAGCTTAGGCATCGGTATGAGTCAAGTGCACAAAATCCTCCACGAACATTTAGCGGTCAGGAAGCTTTGCGCCCGGTGGATACCTCATAATTTGACTGAGGCTCAAAAACTCCATCGTGTGGATTGGTGTCGTAAAATGATTGAAAGATTTAACGGAGGTGACTCAAATGCTGTGTTCGACATACTAACTGGTGACGAAAGCTGGATTTACTGTTATGATCCTAAAACCAAAAGACAATCTGCTCAGTGGGAGTTTCCTTTCGAGGAGTTGCCAACTAAAGTGAAGAGAGATCGAAGTGCGGGAAAAAAAATGGTGGCCTCGTTCTTTGGAAGGATAGGTCATTTTGCAACAATTGTGTTAGAGGATCAAAAATCAGTTTCTGCAGAATGGTACACTACCAATTGTTTGCCACTTGTCTTGGAAAAAGTTCGAGAGAAACGACCTCGCATTAGGATCCTCCTTCACCACGACAACGCCTCGTCGCACACCGCCAAGCGAACGATCGACTATTTGGCGACATCAAACGTTGAATTACTGGGTCACCCGCCGTATAGCCCCGACCTCGCGCCTTGTGATTTTTATTTATTTCCAAAAATTAAAGAAAAACTTAAAGGAAAGCGGTTTATGAATGCTGAAGAAGCGGTGGCTGCGTATCGCGATGCCATTGAAGAGACCCCTAAGGACGAGTGGGCAAAGTGCTTTTCCCAGTGGTTCCATCGCATGCAGCGGTGTATTGACGTGAATGGACAATATTTTGAAAAGATATAATAAAACTAATAACTGGCTAATGTAATCAGTTTTTGATTTTCTAAGAACTTTCAGTTTGACCCTCGTACAATAATAGAGTTTTCAATCCAAACAAACACGCTTTACCAAGTCGGGCAAGTTTGAAATATATACAGGGTTATTTCCACGATTAGTTCATAAAATCATAATCAGAAACATCACCATTTGTTTTAAGTTTTGATGATTCGTTACATTTTACTTTTAAACAACTATAAAATTATATTTTATTTACTTCACAAATCTCGATATCTAAACGCGCTACACCAAAATGTAAGTAACTCATATAGCCCGCAAGGGTATGCGTCGCCCTTTCACTCATGAATGAAATATAGACCTTTATACAACACGACAGTAGAATATAAACTAAAAAAAAAATATTTAAAGTATTAAGTTAAGACTCGTAGATCAAACGTTGTTTTTATGACGTTAGGTATCTATTATTATGCGAGGTTGCTGTTAATTTACAAATAACACTGTACAGAACACTAGCATAATGAAATAATAATAAAAAAGTTTTATATTTTTTATGTAATTACATTCAAGGCATTAAATTGACGAAGACGTATTAACTACTCTATATGTATTGTTGTCATTTAATAATCATAATACATATGTGTTAAAGAAAATATTAATCTTTTTTATTCTATGACAAATACAATTCTACTGCTGAAACCATTATTGATATTGATCACATAATTTTTGAGTTTATTATTACAAACACATACACAGTTTTATCCTCTTTAATATTACATAGTTTACCGAGTTAAATAATGTGTGTGTGTGTGTGTGTGTGTATACCTACTCACCATATACATAGACCATATGTCGTAGAAGAAGTAGGAGGTGCCGAACCACGCGTATGCTTCGGACATGAAGTGTGAAGTCCGCAGGAAGTCGCGCGGGCACGACCACGCCACCACCACCGCGCCCGTCACACACGACAGCGCCGCCTGCACCGCCGACACCATTCTAAGACCACAAAACAACATTAAACATCACTTACAATATACAGGGAGGAACAAAATGACCGACACAGCCGAAAGTTTCAAGTTAGGTTACATGCAAACGTTCATTTTATTTGACAAATATTTAAAAATAGAGGAGGTGTAAAAATGGAGTAAAAATTTTAAATTTCTAAGTGTTGACAGCCTTTTAACGCGCATGCGCAATATCGATTGTGCGCAGATTACAACGGACCGCGAAATACATTAATTTAATTTAATTATTTACCGATATCTTAATGATAGTCGATGCTGAAAATGTTCAATTCTTCTCTGAAGACAGCAAAGCACGCTCTTTTGCATGCCAGTGTATGCACGCGCAAAACACATCACATTTCACACAAAACTAAACACAATCTTCACTAAACTAAACACAACACTCAATACGAACACTCTAGTATCTTATTAACAACAATTCAATTAAAAATGCACTAGAACAAAACAAAGAATCGACAAAAGAGACGCTTTGCAGCGGTACGTCGGCGGCGATGCGCAACAACACTCCAGCTCAAAAGGTCGGCGGCGACTGAGCGACCGGACAATACCAACAGAATAATGAAACCGCCTGGCGGCTGGCGGGTGGGCGGGGCTTTGATATTGAGGGACGAACTCGGTTCATATTATTTTATTCGTCTTTTGATATCACTCATTTTTTTAAATTCTTTTTAAATGCTATTTTAATAACAAATTCCTCAATGTTTTTGAAACAAAGTTCATTTGTGTTAATGATGAATCACTGGAAGATTTGTGAGTTTATCGAGTTTAGTTAACGATCCCGTTGTTAAAGGAGTATCACCCCATTCAAACAATTTTTATGGAGAACTGCTCTTTTAAAATAACGTAGATTAATGTTAGAGTGATCTCTCTACAATAATTTAGGAAATTTTACACTCGGTTGCTTAATGGAGTATGTAAAGTTAAACGTCTCAGACTAAGATCACTTAGTCTTCGTTTTCGGTTTGGTTTTTTGATGATCAGTTGACAGCAGTTTGATAAAACTAAGACTATTTGACTTGTGAAATTAAAAAAACTTAGGTTATTGAGAATAAGCAGTAGATATTTTCTTCTTTTTTTCAAATCATAAATCGGCTGTTAGTCTGTTAATCGATTTAAGCATTTTGACTGCCTTGTTTATTGATTGACTGCTAGAATTTGCATGAAAGCAGTCTTATAAATCACAAACTAGTTTATTTTGTTTTTAGAAATGAAGAAGTCAATGACCGATTAAAAACTTTTCCTTAGTACGTCCCAAAAACAGCTGACTCAGGGTTGAAAACACTCATTTTTATTCAAAAACTTTGTAATTTAATATCACTAAAACTATTTGACTTAGATTTATAATTTTTTTTACATTATATTAAAAACAAATAGTACTCTCCAGGAACCTCGGGAGTGTCGGTCGTTCTGTTCCACCCAGTATACTTATCTTTATCGAAAGTTTCAATATTCGTAATAATATTTCTTTCCGCTGTTTGGGTGGATGCCTGAATGAGGATACGCTCTGTAGTAGCGAAAAAGTAACAAGTGCTTGAAAGATTCGTCAGTCCTGTTAGGTCCTGGGTAGCTCAGCGGTTAGAGCAGTCGCCCGGATTGCGAAAGGTCGTGGGTTCGATTCCCATCTCAGGGTGCCAGGGACCAAGTGGATTTTTTTCAGCATTTTGTATTAACCACAATAAACGTCACCAATGATATATACTGTACGTTATGTCACGACATCAATGATATGTGTACGTCTCACCCCGTCACGTGAATTAATGTATAGTATCCTACGCCAGTTTACCACGATAAAGCACGTCTTGGGAGAATTGAGCATTGATTCATAAACTATTCGACACCACTGATTAGATCAGGTCAATTCAGGACTACAAAGGTGTTGCCAGATTTGGTACGACAACTGCGAGACGCCAGGTGACCGTACATAATATTACGATAAAATCTTTCACTTTCAAAACAGAAGATAGTTAAAAAACACATTTTAATCTAATAATAGCTGACATCAAATAAAACATTATTTATTTATGATAAAATCATCTTAATGTAAAGCATCACGTTTACAAGGTTGGATACCAAAAGGTTATTCTACATAGTCAACTTTGAAGACAGTGTTCTTATTTCCTAACCTAGGAGCAGTTATCCATGTGGTGGTAAATCAGCTATTCTTGAGCAGGTCAATATGTACATAAAATACCTTTTCTTTATTTCTTCCTAGTATGAGTGGTGCCTTCATAGTTTCATATATATTTAATAAAACGGCTTTAGCTACTTGGACTCTGAGTAATGTAGGTACATGATGTTACATAACATTGAACAAAAACCCATAAAAAATGGTAACTTAATGAAAATATTTTGGCTTTAGCGTTACTTGTTGCTAATGTCGAACACCTCCCCGCAGCTGAGCCTGTACTTGTGACGGAGTCGTGTGCCGGCGCCGGTGGACAGCGCCGCCGCATTGATCAGCTCGAACAACGACGCGAAGTAAGCGAACCCGAGCACAGTCAACGCCAGGCCGCGCTTCACTGAGATTCTAACGAAATTAAACACACAAATTCACAATGCTTTTCGTATAGTCAGCTCTAAAACATAAGACAAATTACCTACATGGCTCATTGACCAGTCTTACTTCAGTCATTTATACTAAACAAGTTGTTAATATCACCAGCGTATAATGGATGTAGTTTACCGTAAGTGAAAGGATTTAAAAAATCGGTCCAGTAGTTTCGGAGGCTTTTTAATGTAAACAAACAATCAAATCTTTCCTCTTTATAATTAATATAGGTATATAAAATAATGGTAAAAATCCATTTAAAATACGTTTGAATTGCACTCCTGTGTTGCCTGACGTCAATTTAATCATATTAAATCACGGCAGGTCTGCAAGATAAACGTATTCAATTATATTAGTTAATTCCAAAGATTAATGTCTTTTTGACATAAAAACTAAAGCTTTATCTGCTTTTCAAGTTCAAAGTTATTTATTCTGAAATTTAGAAAAGCATATTCGCCATCACATAAAATATAAACAGTAATCACATAAAATAATATTGTTCGTATATAAATTCATTTATTTACATTAGAATAACATCTTTGAGTTGTCCACTTTATCGATCCATTATCAAATCAATTTTGGTGACCTCCAAACCCGACACCAAGATACCAAGTCCGACTGGACGAACGGACTGACAACTTAGTAATCTTATAAGGTTTTGATGTACGGAACCCTACAAAAATAAAAGGTTTAATACGATGCTCATGTATCTAACGCCTCAAGTGAAAGTAAAAAATGTTAATTACACACTAGAGATTCATCTAGTGTTCATCAAATATTACAGAAAATTAATTACAAGTTGGAGCGTCAGCATATTTTTATGACAGTGACAAGTTATTTATGTAGTTATTTAATTGAATCAGGCGTTATCTTGCGGAAGTTAATTGCTATGTTTTGCCGATATTTGATGTCGTTTGTCAAGATATGTTGCCGTTTGTACATGTGAATCTGCGTACGGACGGTGCAGAGCAGGTGTTGCAGATACTGACTGGCTATGGAAGTTGCTACAAATCACAGTTTCACAGTTATTACAAGTTGTGCATGATAAAACTTTGTAATTATTCAGTGAGATGTGCTCCTTATAAGTCGACGGGCTTTTATTGCGCAAAAGAGTTTCTTAACTAGTGTTGGAATGGAATGCTACTGGACGCTACTATGTCGTACGCGGGTGATGAAGTCGCGGGAAATGTAATTAGTATAAGTATAGGCAACGGATTTGGGCTACCTGTCCTCCGGGTCGAGCGTAAGTACAAGGTTAGCGGCGACAGCAAGCGAGCCAACGTTACACGCAGCAAGCGCGAACATGCTCGCGCGCAGGTGTCCCTGAAACAATATCATAATCATCAGTCATTAACGTCATCAATGCTGGGGCACCGGTGGGTAGAATCACGCAGGCCACTACTCGCCGCGCGAGCAGAGTACGAATCAGCGGGTGTTAACTGCATATGCGGCCGGGACCAACGTCTTAACGTGCGTTCTGAAGTAAAAAACATTCGGACCTTTGCTATCGCAGACCAAATACGCTAACCATTGCGGCGTCGACGAACTCGAAATTAATCATCATCTCATGATGCCTATTATGGCCATTGCTGTATTAATTTATTGCTGAGGTACAAGCTTAGACTATAGAAGAAACACATACTATCGTCTCGATATAGAATACAGAAATAATGAATGGCGATAAATAAAGAACAGAACATTTGATCTATTTCGATATTGTTTTTATTCTGAAAAATAGTTTTGTTAACAACAAAAGGTGCTTCCTACAGGCCTATTCTACTTATTTTTACGTTATAATCGCATCTCAATAGAATCTCAACGACTTGAATTTTGCAATTGTACTATTCGTTTCTAGTACTATTCTATTCGGCATTTACTATACTATTCGTTCTATTCGTGGGAGAGCCACGCTTCGGCATGAATGGGCCGGCTCGACCGGAGTGATACCACGGCCTCACAGAAAACCGACGTGAAGCAACGCTTGCGTTGTGTTTCGTCGTGTGAGTGAGGGTAGGAGGCCCAACTCCATCCTACTCCCTTCCCTCTACCCCTCAACCCTTCCCTCCAAGGCCGGCAGCGCACTTGTAGCCCCTCTGGTGTTGCAGGTGTCCATGGGCGACGGTAATCACTTACCATCAGGTGATCCGTCTGCTCGTCTGCCCCCTATCCCATAAAAAAAAAATCTATCTGTAGTTCAATATTAATTAGTGCAATATCTTCCTCGCACATCACGTGACATATCTATAATAATGTTGGACTTCAGGTAGATAGAACATACAATGGCAAAATGCAAGTAGTTGAAATTCTATTGAGATGCGATTGTTACGTAAATATTAGTTGAATAGGGGTGTAGACAACTTTTTTATATATTTTTATTTTATAGATATACATGAAATATATGTAAAAAAATCAATCAAGTTAATTCTCTAAGTTCTGATACGAATAACAAGGGCGTCGCGTCACTGTTTCCGGTCACGTGACAACGTGCATTAAATAAATGTTTTTTTCATAATCAGTTTAAGCAATATTATAAATATAATAATCATTAAAGTGTGATTATCAATAATAGTATATTAAACACTAACAGAAAAAAAAATGATTTTTTTTGTTTACTGTACACCCGTATTGGCCTGCTGGAAAAATATTTACAACGGACTCTGCACTAGGCCTTGATCTCAGAGATTGATTCGATTTCCCTAATTATGATCTAATTATGATAAGCATTAGGTTCAAATCATAAAGTCACTATCGGCCAGTTGCACAAAACCCTAAAGTCTACACAAACATCTTGTGTAACTGACCATATGACACATTGTGTTCAATCAGCCTATTCTGTTCTTGTTTTTATGATTAAAGGCAATATCAATCTTTTTATTAATTGCCTGTCACAAACAAATCGGTAAAGTCAATTTCTTTATAGAAATGGCGTATCTACATACGACCTAGATAAGATACTAATTTTCCGCATTGTAGACTAATGCCGTCGTATTTTTACACGTCAATCTCTCCAGTGTTTACAATATAATACATTTTATCTACGAAATATATTTCTTGGCAGTTGGTCCTTGGAATATAAATGAAGCCGAATTTTCTTTAGTGATAGACTTTATCTTGATACTTATAAGATTCCGTGGCGTCTAGATACTTCTGATATTAGGACCAACAACATTTTTAGAATCCCTTTTTAGCTTGGCCAGAGGGATAATAGATATCCAGAAACAGAATTTACTTCTTTTTCAAGCTTAATCCTAATCTTCAAGCGCTAAGGCAAATTAAGAATATTGACTTTTTTACAACAATTAATGTCACTGATCTGTGTTATTTTATATATTTATTCCTCCTCATTGCCGCACCTCTGGCTTTAATAATCTTTACATAAATAGTTAGATGAAAATATTCCGTGATTATATTAATGTAACGTAAATCAAACAGTCTTCTAGAGATATTTCGATATAGTCGAAAAGCGTCGGTACAAGTACTGCAATAGAGATATCGACTGACCCTTGACGCGACCCAAGAGGACGGGTATCTGATCATTCATTCTTCAAAATAAATCAATAATTTCTTTGGCAGGCACCGAGAAGTATCTCGCTGCTATGATTTAATACAATCTTATATAATGTTATCCAATAAAAACACTGTACGTATAATTCTAACCGTTGGGTTAATATAATCAAATAATTCACCTTTTTGTCATATCTTTCATAAACTTACGATAATTTCGACATTATAGTTTTACGTTAGCTAAAAAAACAACCAGTTCATCATTTTTTTTTTATCATTATATTTGAATAGGTCTGTTTATCATCAAAATTATACTAGAGGATACGGGTTAATTTTGTACTGTCTTCGATCATTTTTAGTTTTCAATAACAAGTAGAGCTATGACATACCTTATTGAACTTGTGAAAGTTGAAGATGTCGTCAATTAGTTAAGCGGTACGATCAATTTAAAAAACGCTGTTTTAAATATCAAAATCAAAAGGTAGTTGATGTCAAATACGTTAGATACATCTAACAAATAACCAAGGACCGTTCCAGTCAGGACTATATTAATTAATTGGCATAACAAAGAATTATATCAATGGCCGACAGGCTCAAGAGGGATATTATGATATTATTGGCGATAAACGGTAACTCCAACTGTATTGAATGTTAAGTGCATTTGATTCAAGCTGATGGATATCAAATTGTAGACGATCGAATCCCTAGATTCACATGCTTAATTTTATTTTAACAGGAGCAATTTGCACATGAAAGTCATTATTTTCCTCATCCTTATCCGTATTTTTGCAAACAAATAAACTTTAGTAAATATTTTTTTAAACTTGCCGAATGCAACCCTCTTTCGTGTTTTAGGCTTAGAAATACAATTTTGACTGAAAGCATTAGACTTTGTGTGTGACGCTCGATCAAAGGCAACAAAGTCATTCGATGCAGAAAAGCCAAAATAAAAAATTAATTAATAATCTAAATGATAACCACATTTTTAGATCTTGCATAGCCACTTTCATAATCGGTTGAAAACGGCTGATATGAGTGTTAAAAAAGGTATGTTAGTTCATAAATACATTTCTAAATCAATAATGCGACCAGGCTTAGCTTAAAAAGGAGGAATGGAATTGGGGGACTTTTTTATGCTCTAGAATTTCAGATACTATAGAGTTAAAATTTACTCGTTAAATGTCAATTCTTCAAAAATATCTTTGGTTGAATTCATGTTATTAGTCGTAAAGCTGATAATACACAGCTCTGATATCTTACCAACGTCATATTATATCTATAGTAATATTATAAAGGGGAATCATTGTTTTTTGTTTCCCTCGTATAGGCTCCACAACTACTGGACCGATAAAAAAAATCTTACACCTACGGGAAGCTAAATTATACGCGGGTCACATAGGTTATAATTCAAGCGGACGAAGTCTCAGGAAATCAGCTAGGTGCCGATAAAATCAAGATTCTATCGTGGTCTAGGAATCAAATTTCTTTGAGAGATCAGGTTATCTAATTCTATCAATAAAATTTTAATATCTATTATTTATTTTGATAATTGAACAAGCATCTCTATAGAAATAAGAAGTTAAAGGAAATAATCAATTTATAAACACACCAGCATTTAAGGCGCCGACACAAATGTCGAATTTCAACTATAGTTTGAACACATATCTTACATGATTATTTTAATAGATTAATAAATTTAACATTCACAATGCTATAATGAAAAATATTCTTTGGAAAATATACAGTTAAGAGTCCCCTCTCAGATTGCCAAGGACAATGTGGATTTTATAAACATTTTTCATTAAGAATATAACGTACATGATATTAAAGTTTGAATTCATTTATAGAAATTCGCCAGGTTTGAATAACCTGGTGTGCCTTTGACTGTGTTTGACAAATTACATGATATGCCGCTATAAAGGAATGAGAGCGTAATCGTTTCAATTGAACGACTAAGGTATCATTACATGTCTTCAGAGTATATTTTTAGGTGATTTAATGTAGCTTATCTGTTGTAACGCTCAATTCAATGCAGAATAATTAAATGTTAAAATTATTGGATTGATTATTTTACAATTTAAGGAATAATACTGTGTAAATGTTATATGTAGCTTATGATTCGAGTAACGAAGCTTCAATTATTAATCTTTTAACTTTTGTCGCCATGGTTTGAAAAACGAGTATTTAGAAACTTCTTGGTAACCATTACACAGAGCATAACATCAGTTTACAAAAAAAAAATACTCTAAACTTATGATTAAATGATCATTTAGAAAGTAATACTTCTTTCATTGCTAATATACCCAAAACAAAATAAAAGTGAGTCAAAGTTATTTTGATAAAGTGCGAATATAGAGGGCGTGGGCCGTACCCGCCCTAGAATTGCGTGGCGCCCACCCTATGAACCCAAAATAGAGCAGTCACAAGGATTTACTTTCAAGCATTGGTATAATCAGCAACAGTTTGATAAAAAAAAATATAACTCAAAGAATGTTAGAAATAAGATTGTTGCTTATCTTATTAAAAATGGCTAATTTTTATATTATCGTCTTAAGACCTTTTACGTCCTCGCTGCAAGGGCTCAGGCCCTCTCAGTTAAGGAGGATGGGCCACGACCTATGCGGATTGGATGGTATTAACGACTGAAAACGTAGCCGGGACCAACGGCTTAACGTGTCTTTTTTATTCACCCATCCCAAGACCGACACTTGCGAAAGATGCTTAACAACTATCGCAGGCCGTGGCGCTTATCCACAAGGCCACCGAGCTACCCTTTTATCTCTAATTCTAATATTAAAACTATGAAAAAAAAGTCTATTGTTAATATAATAAAAAGTGTATTATTAATATCTTCTTTATATATAAAAATGAATCGCAAAATGTGTTGGTAAGCGCATAACTCAACAACGCCTCGACCAATTTGGCCAAATCTTTTTTTAAAATGTTCGTTGAAGTTCAAGGATGGTTTTTACGGCGAGAAAAATTAGAATTATTGCTGGAAAAACCCTAAAAATAGCCCTTTTCTTTTTCCCATACAAATGATTTGTAACTAAAACGTAGTCAATTTGAGCTTTATTGCTATGGTATAAAGTTCATATTAAATTACAAGCACTCACTGTTGTCTAAGCAATGTAGGCTTTTTGACAGGACGAAGTCTGTCGGGTCAGCTATACTATTATAAATTGATAATAGAGAGAGAGAGAGAGCTGTATGGCAGGCTACCTTGACAATAGCATGGCTCTACATATTTAGGTCTACATATTTTTATTACATAGTGTGCATTGATAGGAAGGAAAATGACAACATCTAGCTAGCACTGTTTGCCATTTGTGTATTTAATATAACACTTGTGCAATGTGGTCTTAAACTAAATAAATTATTCATGGTTCTATACAAACTTACTCAATTTATTGCAACAATCAATTTCCAATCAAATATATTGTTAAGGAATACAAAATTAAAATTATTCTATTTTACTGTTATTTGCAATGATTATCATTTTATATCAGACTTATAATCATGACCATGACAGAAGAAGTGTTTCTGTGGGAAATTTGAAAATTAAATTCATTTTTAGAGTTTAACTAATATGAATGATATGTAGATATATTTCATCTATTTTTAAAGTTATTCAAAGTAGTCTACACCCCTATCCATGCAAGCGATGTTGTGGGATGTGAGATGGAGAAGAATTCAGACAATTCCTTTTATTACATGGGTCATCCATAAGTTACATCATATGTTAAGAAGCGGAGAGGAGACAGTAAAGTGTGATCAACATCCTAAATTATGTGACATTTCCAAATCTAACATAAAACACAAAATTTATTGATTGAACCTTTTTTAATCTTATTGAAAAGAAAACTAATTTCAGAGGTTTTGTTTATTTATTGATTTACGAAGAAACAAAAACCATACATCACAATCATTATAACATAAGGCTTACAACAGTCACTTACAAAGATGCTGCTTTAATTACAGGTTCTCACGACATGTACATAGATCAAGTAAACAAAGTAAACAAAATATTTTAGATGATATTTAGATGAAATATTATTTTATACCTGTAGAATATTGAAACTAAGCATTAAAAAAAATAAAAAGCATTTCATACAAAACAAAAAAATATGAAATACATGTGACATTAAAATTATGAAATACTTAAATAATAATGCAATATAATTTATAGATGGCCACCAAATGCATGAATTTTCAGATCTGAAAAAACATTTAGATACTCTATGCAAAGTTTGGTTTTTATATTACCAAATAGTATGTAAATAAATTATGTATGTATCTATAGTAAGTTACTTACAAACATAAATATAATTTAAGGTATGTAATGTACCAAACAATATTTTAAGCTATTTTTATTCTTGTACTGAATTACAAAAAGATAAAGTAAATTTAATTTACTAAAATTTTTATTTGCTAAATATCTAACTTCTAATTCAGAAGTTCTGATGAACATATCTAACAGATAACTTCATAGAAAACCTGGTTTATTTTAAATTAAACCAGCAAATGGTACAAATGGCTGTATTTCAGGTCAGGTTAGGTTAGGTTAGCACAATAAAATTTCTCTAGTTAATTTTAAATTCTACCCTCAAAACAGCATGGTTTAAAATGAAGTGGAAAAAAATACAGATCTATATAACCTGACATCCTGTTGACTGCATTTTTTTTTTCCACCAATTTTTTTATTACAAAATAATGGGCTACATGGTGTCTTGTTTTTCTTAGATCAACAGTATAATAAACTGATCCATTACTTTAAATATTTCATAATTACAAGAAAATGTTTATTATTTTTTTCTTGTATTTTTAAATAAAAATTCCAAATACAGAAAAAAAGAACAAAAATTTTAATAAACATTAATAATTGGAAGTAACCTATAAAAACCATTAATATGAAGATTTCATACAGTTTAGTGCGTATTGATAAATATAAAATAGATATTATACGTAAAATACAAGTTACGACCCTAACGATCATGAATATCTGAATTAACAACTAAAAATATTAGAATATTCCAAATTATAGTAACAAAATATTTATTGAAATAAAAAACGTAGCAAGTCTCAATTTAAAAGGTACCTAACTTACCTTCGTCGTTACAACTTCCATTATGTATACTCAAAATAAGTAACCAACTAATTAAAACATTGTTCAAATTACAACATTAAATTATTTTTTTTATTAAACCAGAACAAATTATTTGCACTATATTCACTACAAAATTATTTAATCACTTGCTTATGTTTGTGGAAGAGAAAAACTATGTGCGATTTTGTCGATATTTTGAAGTTGACATATACTGTCAAGCACAGCTACCTGTCAGTCACCTTCTTTTTAAATTTTTTTAATACAAAGCTTGGATACAGTCTTTTAAGCTTAAACTTTGTTTCCAGTGTCTTCGTTGTCATAAGTTGTTACAGTTATTCAATCTTCTATCAACAATAAAATTATATGCTCGGTCAGTGCCTTTCGGACATGTTACGATGCCACAGTGCGTATTAAAACTGCAAATATAACTATAGGAATAAAAATGTATCTGTTGGAATATCATAGTTTCGGGTGGTAAATGTGATTTTCCAATATCTTTAATTAATGATCAAAGTATTTTCAATAAGATAATAAACAGACTTTGTTTTTAACCCAATCCACGTGCCAACATTCACATACATTTAGCCAAATATTTAATGTTTTAAAACAGCACATACATGGGTAGTATACTATTACACCTTTTGACCAAAAATACCACTAATGAAAAAAAAATTAAAAGAAAAGAAAGCACTAAAAAGCACCTCACTATATGACTCTAGCAAAAGTTGCTGGAAACGAATGGACCAAAGATAGTCATTTTCGAAATTGAGTTTTGAAATTAATTTACTTTTATACATGAAAGAAAACCGGAATAGTTGTCATGGAGAAATCAAGAATGTACCGTAGCGACATCTAGTTTGATTTCGGGAACTATTTTTTTAAATTATTCGTTATTGAAACCATATTGGGGGTAGTGCTTCGTGTTCTCAGTTACTAAACTATTTGCATGAACATTTAGGTTTGTACTGGTCTGGGTGTTTTATATGTATTTTGAGTATCTATTTACAACAAAACTATTTAATTATTATATTTAATCATTTTTCATCAAATATATTTTGTTAAGGTGAATGAAAGGTGATTGAATGTTAAAAGTTTTTAATAGAAATGAGGGTTGGAATATACCATGGACTTTAGATGAAAATCTTTCTTCAGCTATTGTCTTTTAAATAATAGGGTACATTTCTGGTTAAGTTAAGAAACTGAAATTTGAGGAATGTAGACATAATTTATGTGCTAGAGACATATTATGGTTTCAAAAATTATAGATATAAGAGATGTGGGTGGTCTAGTGTATGCATCAAAATATGTTCTTGATGTTTGCATGAAAACTGAAAGTGTTACACGGAATTTACTCTGTATAAATGGAGGTAAATTGATAAAAAAAATGTATGACAAGAATTACATTTCTAAAGCGGTATTAAAGTCATAAATGAGGAAGTATAAAAAAAAACATTAATACCCGAAATTAAACTAGATGTCACAACGGTACTTTCTTGATTTCTCCATGACAACCCCTCAGACCAAATAAAAAGTAAAGACGGAGTTCACTGAATAACAAAGTGAAGCCGATTTTTAGCAATTGTAGTGTGCGTGCCAGTGTGACCATAGTCACTAAAAACACCCCAATAACTTAACGTTACGACGTTATAGAGTTAACGTTAACGCTATGCTATTTAATAATATAATGTAAATTCGTTTGTCAATATCAGCATAGATATTCTAAAATCTTTAAGAGTAGGTAATTATTATTGGAGGCCATACATTAGAGAGACTATTTAATTAATTTTTAAGTTAAGTTTGAAAACTTCCACTATGTTAACTAAAATTTTAATATATAGAAAGTTTGAAACCTTTGGATATAAGTTTTGCTTTTTTCAACGTAACCCTTTTATAGTATAATACATATCATCGCTCTTAAAATGAGTCGAACAAACTACGTTGCGCGAAGTTGGATTCCATGAAGGTTCATTTCGACTATAAGGAATGACTGAAATCCACTTCTCTTTCACATTTTGATGTCGGTTTGAAAATGAAAAAATGTATGCAAACCCGTTTAGTAAAAATTATCGTTGTGTTACTCATTCTTTTTTAATGACGATGAGTGAGTACCTCATTTTCCCTCGTGAGGGGCTCGCGAGTTACCCCTCATTTGAGGTGAGGATAGGTAATGTTATAGTAGCAGTGAATGAGTACGTAGCGAGGCGCTCGCAACATTGCGTCGGTAATGCTAAACAAAACATATTTTGTCTTTAGATTTTAGGAAATAAACTTTATTAGATTATTATTTAACAGAATGAACACAACACGCAACTTATTTGCAATAGTATCAAATGTTCCATTTTTAAAATCGATCAATCATTTATATTTCGAATCATATAAATATATTTCTAAATAAAACCGATACATTTTTATTAACTTTGATTTTTACTTAATTAAAATTTTACTTTATAAAATTTTAAATACGTATTTGCGAAGAAACACATAAGCAAACCTGAATCGTTCCAAAAAACTCATAAAACTAACCCATTCCCTCAATCTTGAATATATTGAGTAAGTATCGAGTCGAATTTTCATTCGAAACAACTCGCTACTTAGCTCCTCACTCAAAAAGTGAGGAGCTTAATGAGTTGGTTCAAAATTGAAAAACGAGTACTCCCTCATTTTGTCGAAATGAGGAACTCAACGAGGCACCTCGCGAGTGAGGAGCTCATCACTAGTAAATAAAGAAGTTAAAAATTAAACCCGTTTTTTACTTTTTACTTCCTTATTCTAACACTTCAATATCTGTGATCTGGACCTCTATGTAGCATTTTGAATGCAAAATTTATTATAAATATCATTTCCATACAACAAGAAAAAAATACATAACGTAATTTGTGTTTTGTTAGTAATAACGCATTATAAAATTAAGGTTACCTGATTTCGGGGTAAATAATAACGTTTAACGATGGTAATATTTGGCTGAGGTTTTGTGTTCCAAGCAATTTCTTAAATTTAATTTTTAAATTACTGAAAATGTAAGTTTTCTTCTATACTTATGTGTGAAATGTGATTCCATCCTGCTTTTTATTTTTTGAGGATTGGCTTTTACAACCTTTTACTACATAATTGGCAGTTAGTACGAAATTTTTGTTTTTTTTTTATAATGAAACGTTCCGCACACTGTCTTTAGTAAGACTGATAAGGAAGGCGTAGTTTCGTTATGTATGTGTGCGTGAAACTGTGTACGAATACGCCGAGGCGTAGTTTTGTCGGCTTCACTTTTCTGTTAGGCAAAACTCCGTCTATACATTTTATTTGGTCTGAGGACAACCCTTCCGGTTTTCTTTCATGTATAAAAAGTCAATTAATTTTCAAAACTCAATAAACAATTCATATTCTATTTGTACTTTTTCGTATTTGTATTGATATCTAATGTTTGAAGTTTAAAATATTTTCGTTTTTAATATGTTAGTTAAAAGGAGCAGAAATTACTATCTTTGGTCCATTTGTTTCCTGCAAAAATCAACTTTTGCTAGGGTCGCCATCTATTGGCCTGATTTTTAGTGCTTTCTTTTTTTCTAAAACTACTTCCTCATAAATAAAGATTCGTTCCCTGAAAGTTACAAATTAAACCATAAAAAAGAATTACTTAATAAATGTTTTGTTGTCGTAAAATTGCACTACTAATGCAAAATAAGAAATGGCCGATATTAAAAATAAGTATAAATAAATAAGTATAAGAGAAAACTTTCTAAAAAAATTAACTTATTTAAAGTTAATTTCTATTACTATGTTCAATTGAATTTTGTTTTAGAATTATGTATATTATTTAAAAAATCCTAGATAGTGAGAAAACCACTAGTACGTATACAGTACTAAAGAAATTATTCCGCTATAAATTACTTTTTTAACATTGTAATGTTAATTTCTTAAATTATATTGTGTGCAAAATAATGAAAAACCTGAAGATGTTATCACATAAAAAGATCTTTAATATCAATTTATTTAATTTTAATTTTTCCCGTATTATTACTGTACTCTTTGTGCATGCTACTGTATTTGTGTATTGTTTTAGTATGCCAGGTGTTATCTCTAGTTGCATTGTTAATCGAAGTTTTTAATGGAAGATTTTATATATTTGTGTATAGGTACATAATATTCAGATTTCTATCCTATCCGTCCTTATAAGTTATAGTCGAGAGAAGCAATTATGTATATACTTGAGAAAATGTCTTAATTTGACCAAATATTTTTAACCAATAAACGAGAATTTGAATAAAATAAAAACTGTCAATAGCTAATTATAATACTATTCTAATTATATCAGGCTTAATTTAATTATCATTGGCCTAAGACATTTTCTCAAATAATTACTTTCTCGACTATAGATACGTGTGTCATTTCATGGAAATCCATCGTGAGGAGAACGTGGATTGGTCATTCATTACAATATAGAAAAAAAAAATAGTTATGTAACTACCCTCGATATCATATCCTTATGCGACATTACTTGTAAAATAATATCGTGAAAAATCATAATAATTCCACAGTTGTAGTTCGAAACACCGTTCCAAGACATTTACAACGCTTGTTTATTTAGTAGAAAACCAAAGGTTATTGTAATGAATATGGAAGTGGATAGTGTTGCGGTAAGTAATATATTTATAAGAAATTTGATTATTGGTTACAGTGATTACAAAATTATTTTGTTGTATAGGAAATCAAACGGCACAACAGTTTTACAAGCCCAAATAACAAGAGACCTCCTATTACGAGGCGTGTAGGAAGGGAACGCTGTCACAGTTACAACCATACTCCTGAAAAAAGATCTTTAGATAGTCGTTTGGCTGTTCCAAGGGTGAGAATAACCTGCCATTTTTTTCAATAAAACACAAGAACAATTCGTATAAGTAGTACGAGATTATACAATTAGTTTTTCTCATAAATTATATGTTTTTTTTTAGTTTTATATCGACATTATTTATGTTTGTGCTATTGTTGTTGAATTTTCACAAAGTAAATTCTTTAATGTTATGCAATTTTTGCGAGGTTTTTAAGAAAAAGTTCAAATTTAGGGTAATTTCAAAGAAATTTCATTTAAAGTTGCGATATTCAGTGTTTACTGTTCAAGACACAGCAAATGCTTTTATGCTATGATCACGCTATGATAAGCACTTACAATATATAATTATTGTAATTATACTAAAAAAAAAAGTGGAATATTAAATAATGTGATCGGAACGTTTCCGAAATTATGTCAATTTGACAGCATTTTGACGTTGAATAAGTTGCGTTCAAGGCAAATCAATTCCTTTATTGAAATACAAACTATTATATCCAAATATTAACGTTGAGTTAGATTTTTAATGCATAAACAGATGAAATAAGCCCCATTCATAATTAGTTACATATTAGATTTCGTTTTATAAGAAGTAAAACATCCGAATTTAATTCAGCAAATGCAGTTGCTGTAGGCATTACCAAATATGGAGTTCGCTCGTTTTCCCAACCGTCCTCCCTTCGATCCTTAGTAGCTCTCGATTTTATTTTCTATTATTTATTGAGTTCATTTCAAATGATTTCATTGCATTTTCTAGTGTAATTATTATAATTTCTTACTATAGTTAAAAGTGAGTTGAAATAAATCTTCAATTAATGTCAAAATATAGGTCAAAGTAGTGTATAGGTTATGTTTTAAGCCATAATTTAGGATTTTTGTATTGTTTAATGTTTTGTTGGTAACTGTGTGATATTTCGCGTTACAGATGTCTTTTAGAGTTGTACGTAGTTCAAAATTCCGCCACGTTTACGGGCAGGCCCTTAAAAGAGAACAGTGTTATGATAATATCAGAGTATCAAAAAGTTCATGGGATTCAACCTTTTGTGCTGTGAATCCCAAATTTTTGGCGATTATCGTTGAGTCTGCTGGAGGAGGAGCCTTTATAGTCCTACCACACAATAAGGTAAGTTTTCGTTAAATTTCTCTCAAGAAATTTGTTTATAGTATTCCAAATTCTAATATTTATTAAAATTTTATTATTACGAATTCTGAAACGATAATCTACAATTAAAAGTGGCCAGATCTACATACTATTGTACCTATTAAAATGTGTATAAAATTTTGCCTCTGCATAGAAGTGATATTTAACCCATTGCTTAATGTTAAATCAATTATTTTAATTTATTACTCTTTGAAATATCCTTTTTCAATACCCATTACAATAGGTATATAGTAGTCATTTATATAACTTTATTTATGAAAAAATCAATCAGTGTACTGTAGTAATCATAATAATGCTCAAATTTGGGTTTGGAAATGATTGGGAAATTTAAGTTGGGAAATGATAATGAATTTATACTTATTTGTACAAAAAAAAATAACACAGGAAAACAATAATAAATATAAAGTACAATGGCTGGCTTACAGCTAAAAAATCATTTTTACCAGCAACTATAACTTGAACTTTTTCTAAATCTTTTTTTTGTAGTGAAATTAAAAAAATTTCAGTTCTTTATTATAATAATTCTGCATAAAGTCATATAATTTATTGTACGATATAAATTCAGAATATATCTTGTTTCAAATGAACTGGTGTAATGACATAGGATTTATCATCAATTTGATAATTTCAAAAAAAATAAAGTTCAATTATATTTAGCTTTCTTTATGATAGCATAATTTATTAATTATTTCTTGTAAATGTATGCTTTTTTGGATTAATCATATAAATATTTTAATTAATAAATTATGGGATACATTTATATTAATTATTTCATATTTTATGAAATATCAACTTTATAACCTAATAGCAGATTTCGGTAATCCAATTAGGTATTTTGGCTACTTAATTTGGGATCTGAGCATTGTATATGCTGTTGTCTAATATTGTATATTTAATTTAATAGAAAAGACTACTATAAACAAGAATCTGCATAAGGGTTGCCTGATTGCCTTGTTAATTTAAGTTTTGTTACAAAAATCAAATATTCATTCATAATATGTAAGTGGAACTTGTACTTTGACAATATGATAACAGATAAACAACATGCATAACATTGACTATTATCTGCTAGCATGTTTATTTTATTACTCATGACTCCAGGAATCATTTAACTGACATTTCTTCCTAATATTGGAAAAATAAATAGCACAAGCAAATACATTTCATATTGATAATTCAAAAATAAATCATTTTTTTTATATTAATTGAGCAGTATTTGAAAACAATAAGGCATTTGTTCTGGTTGTAACGGCAGTAGATAACACCCACTAACCACATATGGGTGTTGGGTCACGAACCATTCTCCCTGTTTGATTTGATTCTATCCATAGGGGAGGTCTGTACTTCAGGAGACAAAGCAGGTGAGTAAACCTGCAGAAATCTAACATTCTGCATACAAGCCTTGTCTTTTAATGTAAATGAGTTGTTAGGGTGGGTGTCATAGGCAGAAAATAATCAAAGAAACATCAGAAATTTAACAACAACAAGGTACATGGCAGCAATCCCTTGATAAACTATAATTCTAACTTAAATTACCATGAAAGCTTAAAACAACATAATATAAGTTATGCCAAATATATAATTTCCTTATTCAATTTTGAATGCAGCATTAATATAAAGATTTAAACGTGCTGTTGACTCTACATTAACATTTTGAACCTATGCACAGTACACTATTTTTCTTTGCATTTGTGCCTGTTATTGAAAAAGAAATCCTGCAGGATACATACTAATAATTTCTACACTTACTTCACAAAAGAAGCATAAATTATATGAGAATTCATATCTGTAATTTGAGAATGTGTTATTTTCGTAGTGTACCCAAAGCTTAACTTTGTATAAGCTGACCTATAACGTCTATATTAATATTAAATCTTAGCACATAGGCGTAGGCGCCATGTCCGTATGCTCGACTAAAATAAGCATTTGAGGATATGTGACAGAAATTATCAATGGAACAATGCATGGAAACCGATAGGGCACATTGTGCAACTGATACGGGGAACAATGAGGTGCCGGCCACAATGACTCGTAACTCGGCGAAAACTCCTCAACGCTAATAGATATGTTTACTTAAATAAGGTCACGTATTCATTTTGAGTTTTCAAATTTTTATTTGAGGAGTTCGATGGCGCTTTGGTTAACGTGTCCGGTATGCGATGCGGAATTTAAGCAACTTTCACGGGGGCCGGTCATGGGATAGGTTATCAAAAATGTATTATTTCGAACTCCTCCGTGCTATGGAAGGAACGCTAAGTCGATGGCCCCGGCCGCATCTGCAGTCGTTAACACCCACCATTTCGTACTGGGCTCGCGTGCTGGGTCACGAGTGGCCCATTCTCCCTATTTGATTTGATCAATTTCATCCATAGGGACAGTTTGTGCTTCAGCAACGGGACATTAATAGACTGATAATTCTGTATATATATTTTTTATACAACCGCACGCGTAGTAATACTTATGGAACGCGCCAAAAGGACGAAAAAATGAATTAAAGAATGGTTTGATGGAAACATGAACCCCGCATACAGTACATGCTGAATCATGAGAATTCATATGTTATTAGTGACGGCAGATTTTGTTTCGGGAAAAAATGGGATTTCAACTTTTTAAGAAAGCGGGATTGTTTTGCCATAAAAATTAGTATATAATCAGTTATTTCTATTTCTCATTCGTTTATTTGAGTGTCAAGTAGGTAAATGATCTTTTTTAAATAGTATTGTGGTGAACTGTAATTTATCCGGTCATGGATGGAAGTGGAAAGTTTAAATTTTCACCTATATTATTATACGACTTACTTGACATAGAACAAATGAAAAAATATATATTCAAGATTAAACCAATAGACCCTTTCATTTACTGTATCACATAATATAATTTACGCAACTTTTTGTAACATATAAAGAGTCCTTTATGTCAACGCCCATTTTTAGGCCACCAACCAACTTACGTATTTGTAATTCAACAGATTAGTTGTCCCCGAAATAACCGAATGATCCTATATGGGCTCAATATTTCCTTTGGAGATGCAGAACCTAAAGGGTTCCGGACTTCAGACGTCATATTTTAACAGAAGTTCTTATCAATTAAATATCACGCTTAGGCCCCCTGGCTAGGCCAATATAGAAAATTGTCATTTCTACATAGACTGGGATCTTCGTTGTTTCAGATTTCCTTTAATAACGGACTTTAACTACTGGACTTTATATCTAAGAACTGTATCGGTGGTAGCCGTAGTCGGTCACCAACATCCCGATACTTGGACATTGTCATATTTCATAGTTACATTACTCGTACTAGTTGTTGTTAACCTCTCCGCTCAATTGTAATGATCGTCCTTGCTACTGGCACTAGGACGAAAGTTAAAAATATAGCCAGTCGGGCTAAAATTGGCCAAGTCCTTTAACTTGACTTCGGCTTTTATGTGTTCACCATTTTGCTTGGTATTGTTATTTGTAATAGTTATAACTCAAAAGTTATATAGAACTTCATGTATAAGTACAGAAATGTAATTTAGATAACAACTAAAATTCGTACATTATCAACAGCCATCAGCCTTTTAAAGGCTCCACACTGGGGCATAGACAATGGTCTATGCCCCAGTGTGGAGCATTCTCCCTATTCGAATCGACTACGGATGTAATCGATTCGAATAGGGAGAATGGACGTCCCCACGCTAGTCCAGTGCAGACTGGTGAATTTCAATGGCACATGCCCGAAATGGGATCCCATCTTGGCATGATGAACTCGAAAAACGCTCGACAGTCTATAAAATAGCTTGCCCTCGCCTGTTTCTCGAGTCTCTCGAGTTGGTCATGCTACGCGGGCTAGGACTGATTCTTCATGATAACTAAATTCAGTTAGCTATTGTTAGGTGACGAACGACACGTATCAAGTAATTTATTGTTTGACCTTAAAAATATGCACATTTGTAACGTTGACCATGTTTCAAATTCATTCATGTAATAAAGCAGCTTGTTTTATGATTTCACAAAATAGATTCAAGGCTTTGCTGCTTGCAAAAACATCCCTTTTGTTGTCGCGTTTTGGCAACAGATCAGATTCACGCCAAGGCGTCTGACAAATTATGTCTTTATTTGCAGAGTTGGAACTGGATTTATCTTACGTTGCTTAAAATTTTTTTGTGGTTACCAAATTCACCAGGCTACTCCTCAGAGCGAGGTTGGCCATGTTTTGTAGCGTCTGATTTTATTTAATATTATTACCTAATTAACAAGAAACTTACTTTTTTATGTTGACAAAGATGTAGGTTCTTTGGGTCCACAAAACAAAAAAAAATCAAATCAATTCACCATTGACGAATATCATGGAACATGGTACACAAAAAAAGTCATTTAGTCCATTGGTATACGTATATCCCTTCTTTTGAAGTCAGTTAAGACAAAAGATCTTTTGTTCGCAAATATACTTTTTTTTTAATTCTTGGTAGTGCTTTACGTAAAATCAAGGATTTTTTTGTCTGGATTAGGCACTCCAAACGAAATTCTGTCCAATTTTTGATTCATTTTGGGAGATTAAAGCAAATCAGTAATATATTCTATATAAATATGCATGAATATTAAAAAGTGACAAAACTAATCGTATATCAGCTATCATTTGCTAAAATGGGAGTAAATAAAATTTTAACGATGCCGAAAAATAACCTCTAAAATACAACGACATTACATTTTTTCTCGTAAACATATTATTTTTCCATTTAGATGTTTATAGTCTAATCTTCTACACTGAAGAAATTATAAATACTTGACTCACAAGCACTATAGGCACAATTTAGTACATATAAAATTAATTAAAAATAATCGTAATGATTGCAAATATTTTACGCAATATCGGTCATCGGTCGCTGTCTAATTAGCTATTTATCAATTTAAATATCACATAAGGGTTCAAGATGTCGAAAAACTGCAATAGTATTCAATAAATTAATGATAGCATATTATGTATCACAAGCAATACACATACGACAGAAAAAGTATGATACAATACCATCAAATGTATCATTGCCAATGTTCTAAACGAAGCGACAAAACGATCATCAAATAAGTCAATTCGCATTCTATAATTAGACGTGCGCCGTACTCATGGTATGTTATAATTGGAGTGTTATTATTTGATCGGCTATTTATAAAGTTTTAGTATTGGGCAATAATTCCGTGAGCGGGATATATATCCGATGCTCGCCCACGCGACGTACGAGAAAAGCGCACGGATTCGTGTGCACCACCATTCCACAATGCCGACCTTTCAGTTTCATATTAACACGTGCTATATAAGTTTCTTCGGTCAACTTGTTAAAAATACAGTTGTCGTTGAATTGTTATTTAATGCACTTAACGTTCAAAGTCGGAGCTTATGATTCTCGAGTTTGGTATTGGTTTTGCTTGTAGTATGAAATTAGTGAGTTACACGGTAGTTAAAAAATAGGCTTCAGAAAGAAAATTATCCTTAACTTTATATCCAGGAAGTATCACTCTCATTTGAGGTTCCATGCTAATTCTTCTCCCACATTTTGTGTGGTCGTCAAGAAGACAAGACAAATGTAAATTTGTCTTCCTTTTCTTATCCACAGTCTTTCCATCTTTTTCCAGTCTTAAAAGTCACAGACAAAATTCTCTTACAATAATCTGCGAGCATTATTAATACAACTCTTTTGGATAGTGTTTTTTCTTGGAGAAACATGGACACATTGAATTCCACATTTAAAACAAAACAGTAACAACATTTACAAAACCTTTGTTATTTTATATCAAAGTAAAGTTTACAATGTACAGTGATTTTGTTCCTATAATATTAAAATTTCCTTTAAAAAAGCTGAATTACTTCACGGCAAATAGTTCTTATTTACGTCATATTATAATCAGAACAATCTTTTCATTCATCTTCAATCACATGACCGTTCTTACTTTGTTTAATACTAGCAATTTTTAAAATCGGTTCAGTAGTTTCGGGAACCTAAACCTCAAAATCATTTTTTTCCTTTTTATAATATATAGATTTGTTGTAACCTTTTCACTATTTTTACCAAGTAACCTGATTTCCTTTAGTTTTCTGCCGGTTGACAACTACGCTCATTGTAATGATCATATATATCTAAACGGTGTTGCTTTCGTATAGAACATTCTCTGTGACAAGTGCGGTCATCCGCACAACGTTTTGGTGACCTATTTATTTACTATTAGATAAAGAAAACCGGCAAGTGCGAGTAGTGACATGGATTGTATGGTACCAAAGCTGTCAGTTTTACGATTATTACCGGTTAAACTATAATAATATACAATTTCATCAAATCAATAAAGAATTTGGCATTTTGCTTCTCTTATTACATGTATAACTACATTATAACTCTTCGAATTATTGCAGCGTATTACTATGGCTGCAAATCAGGCGTGGAAATTTAATTCCACCAAAAATAAATAAATACTTTATAAAATAATTATTTTACGTACGAATTCTTGAACCATACAGTGGTCTTCAACATTGCAGGTATAAAAAAAAAAATATGATCTACGAACTCTCCAATGATATTCCAAAGAATAAAATTGTGATAATAGAGTTCTATCTCGGGGTACCTGGGGCTGGTGGATCTTTTAAGGGTTATGTTTTTTCATTAAGATATTTATCAGTATATGTATATAGCCACTATAGCAAAGTGCAAAATTACCTTAATCAAGATTAAAAATAAAAATATTTGTACATTATATTTCTTCTTCTGTTTGGGTGGATTGCCTGAACATTGATTATACGCTAAATATGTAGTAGCAAAAAGGTCTCGGATAGCTCATTGGTTAGACCAGTCACCGGGATTGCGAAAGGTTGTGGGTTCGAGAACCTTTCGGGATACCTGAGGCAGGCTGATTCTTAAATAATTTTTCATTAAAGGCATTATGATAAATTACATATTTCTAATTAGTAGTCTCTTAAATCGCGAGTCGTCTGTCAGACGGGTATGGAAAATGTCCTCAAACTTAAGGACTTCAAGGGTAAGTTATCGTGATTTGAATATTGAGATACTGTCTATGTAATTTTTGTGCTACGTATA